GTATTCATACAGTTATGTACTTTTTTTTTACTTAACGGTGTAGCAGATTTATTTATATTAAACAAAACATCACCAAAGCCTTAGTGTGGTTACCAAACTGCTTGCCAAGCGGTGCAACTACTGGCAAAAACCCACAAGAAGGAGGCTTTATGTTCAACAGTGGACAGTGGAGGGAAAAGGATTGATAGTAATGGAGACTAAGAATCCTATTGCTAGCAATATACCCAACCAGGTTAACCTCCATGCAGTTTCACCTGGAAACTATCATTGTTAATTCCTGATGAATACATTATGGTAGGCTAACTGGCCTGTTTTCATTCTCACCTATCATCCCTCATTGGTGCCCCATTTGTTGTGGGAGTGGGAGTCCAATGGGAGTTGCCATTCTATTTTCACCCATTAAAAAAACAATGGACATTAAACGGCTAATACGATGATGATGATGAATATATGTAATTTAAAAAAAAATTACATTGCACCGACATTATTATGTAAATAAATACCTATAAACATAATCACTAAGTAAATTTATGTATGTGCGTTTAGATAAAGTAAATTACTCTGTATTTAGCTTTATATCTAATAGATTTCAGTAAATTCTTGTAACCTCTGCATATAATTATAGATTACCCTTTACTAACCCCAATACAGTATAGGAGTATTGAACAGTACCATAGACAAAAGATTGTCAGACGCGAATTATCCTTCAATTTTTTTATGATACTTAAAATGGCGAACATATTAATGACTGAAGAGAATTGACAACCATCGTTTACAATATAGCAATTAATTACACATGTATTTATTACACGATGACTTCGTTAATTCTGAGCAAATTTTGAAAATGCTTTTCACGTTAGATAATGTCGATCGATATTAATTTTGTCACAATTAAAGTTGCTACTTTTTTTGCGGAACGAATACTTTATCTGAAGTTATTATCATTAAAAGATATGTAAAAACATTGAATTACAACAAATTATGCAAACCTTGGCAGTCTGATGACGTAAACCTCTTAATCTACTATAACTATTCTGCATTTATCCATTCTTCATGTTATAACATAATTGTGTATGACAACCAAATATTTTACCAGATTTTACTGTAAAATAACTAATGACTATAGTTATTGAGATTCTTGGTATCGAATTCAATTTAATATTTATAATTAATAGTTTCTTAGGATATTATTTTCTCCTATTGTCTCATCATAATGGTGTTGACATCATTTTTACACAGAGTACTTGTACAAGATATTTTTAACCCTGCCTCCGGTATATGCTGAAGAGGTATCCATGAGGGATGATAAATGAGAATGAAATAAGTTCTGATGGCCCATCGTGACGAATTATTCACCATGATTTCCAAGGAAAACCGCGTGAGATTGACGTGATGGGGTACATTGCTAGTCACTAGATTTCATTAATAACAATCACTCCCTTCTTCCCATATATTTAAGAGATATAAAAACTACCTACTTCCACATCTGTTTTCATAATCTTTGCAGTGCACAGCGCAGCAGGTGCAACAAGCGTACACAGAGTGGGACAGTGACGCAACACTCTTCCTGTATGAGATGCGCCGCCTATTATTTACACACGGTTCTTTTGTATGATGCAATGACAGTATACTACTTATTTGACTTAAAACAGTAGCAGGATATCATCTTTATCCGTCTGTTTATTTGTTTACCTGTGGCGTAAAGGTAACAAAATGTTATAAGGGGAAAAAATCCTATACGAGTTAATAAAAATTATGATAGTACTGTTTTTTTATACCATATGGTACGGTAAGCAGTTACCGTAGCCTATAAACGCCTGCTATACCAGGGGATTTAACACGCGCGTAAGCGCCCCTAAATAAACCTCTTTACCCCTTTTTTAAAAAACCCCATGCTGTAGTCTCTGGAAAACCGTTAAAAAAAGTTATGGGCCCACCCGATGGAAAATAATAACCATCATTCGTGATACTGTTCACATTTTGGAATTTTTATGCCTCTTATCTTAAATATTACAAAAAAGTAAGATGACGATCACGACGATAAAGACAGCACCACGTCTATAAAGGCGTCTAGAATACCAAACCCTTCAAACAAAATATATTATTGAACTATTTGTTATTTTTCGGAATTCATTATCACCCGTTATTTGAATAGAATTATTTTGTTTAATTCCAACCATTTTGTCCATGCACGGTTTGCGACACGTATTTCACCTTTAAATGAGACATCTTCAAGTTAATTAACAATAGGTTAACACTAGGCTCCGAACAAGCCGCTGTTAACCGTTCGGTACCCAAACTGCGAATATATTTATTAATCGCAATTTGGGTAGTATAGCTCAACATTGAAGTCGATTCTGAGGTACCAATCCCTAAACTTATTTCCAAAATTAAAGATGAAATAACACTACTATAAATTTATGTTATACTGGTCTAATAATTATTTCACTGTAATGTGGAAATGAAAATTTTATTTTACAATTGTGCTTCAAAATCGACCCTAAATTCAACGTAATTTGAAGCGACTTCCTACAGAAGAGGAGAAAAATTGATACGTTGTATTCTTGGTCTAACAGATTACAATAGTGATATGTTGTATTCTTACTCTGTTACCACGAGAATGTTGATGCATTGTATTCTTGCTTTTTTTCCATAGGAGCAGTGACACATATTCTCACTGTGTCACTATGAAACTGGTAACGTATTGTATTCTCACTCCGTTACCTCAGAAATTGTTACTGGTGACACATATTATTCTTATGTCATCACAAGAGTGATGACACATCATACTCTGTCCCGACGAGAGTAAAAATACAACATACCACCAGATACGTTATGTTCTTACTCCGTTACCGCAGACAGACGTTGCATCAGGGAACTTAAATTTTAGGGTCACGAGGTCGTATTTAAAATTAACCAGTTAATCTTCGAAGCGAACATTATCTGTAACTACCCGGTTTACCGGCTAGACCTAAAAAAAACAATTCGCCCCATATCTCATCGTGATTTCATACAAGTCTGTGCCATTAGCTACTAATTTCGCACTTTCGACGTACATAATTACAACTTGAACTTGCGTAATGGAAGTACCAGTCGCTTCTGCAGTCACGACCAAACTGTACCACTAATTTATATTGTGCTTTCTTAAAACAACAACAACAAACGATTTAATACCATAATCACTCGGAATAAGAGCGAATGGAAAACATTTTTTATTTTACAAACCGCCAACAAAAGTCGGTGGATGCACAAAGCACTAAAAATTATATCAAAACGTCAAAGGTGGTTGCGTAACCTCGTACCCAATACAATAATAATAGATGTCGTACAAAAAAAAAATAACGAAAGTGCAAGAATTAGAGCGGGCAATGGATACAATGGCACTGCAAGCACGATTCCGTCTGTCCGTACGAAAATAATATAATAATTGACGATGGATTTAGATGACTGAGGTATGTATTGAATGCTTGTTGATGTGTAATCCGTTTTGTAATACCATAGATTAAATAATGTAGTAATACTTTGTCTATGGTAATACAATAACATTATCTATATGATATAGTGAGACGCCCACGGTACCCGTCATGCGTTGCCATTCATGATGAATGAATATGGTGTTGCGATTGCATACATTGTACATTTTAATAATATAACAAAATTGTGACTAGATAATGTATGTCCATGGAACATATTTAAGGAAAACTAATATGAGAAGTATTAATAAGACCAATAAATACCAAAACCGTAATTTTTATATATTTTATGTGTCTGTCTGTTCTGACATCACGCAAAAACTACTACACCAATTTGGATATGGTGTTCACAGTTGTTAAATATCCCACTGTTATATGTCCATTGTATACATACAAACATGTTTTCATCTACTATATATATATAGAGGTTTATTTAGTTCACTTATTCGGATAAATAAATAGATAATACTGGCAACTGAGAAACGCTCGCGTTGCCATGGTGACCACAAATAACAGAAAAAAGTAAGTTCTTATTAAAAATGTTTGTATAACAGGACAACGTTTTTTTATTTATCACAAAATTAATTAAATAAACCGAGTAGTTCCTCAAGATCCTTATTCAGGATTATTCATTGGTCTAATCGAGCCGGATTAGAGTTCAGTTTGGTGTATTGCTAAACTCCTGAATAGCAGTGGATCATTGCAGAAGAGTTTGCCCTTAGTACAGCAGCTAGTGGCATCGGTAGCGTCGCTGTAGTGAGAAACTAGTTGCAGACAGTGGCGGTATTTGGAGTGAGTCCAATTTACGTTACTGTAAGGCGGAGCGGGGCAAAGAAGTTCATTGAGGAAGTGTCTACTCGTCAAGGTGTGAGTAAAGTTCAAACTGTGAGTTCTATTGTTCATTATTAGTGATAGTGAAGTTCATCCATATTGAAAGAAGCTAGAAGTAATCAGATCAATTCAATTTCATGTTCCACTCATCGGAAACAAGATCAAGTGCAAAACGAACTGTAATCTTATTTTCAAGAAAGTATTAATTGTAATAATATGCAATATTATTACATAGAATATTTTACTCAAATATAATTAACAACGTAGAATTGTAATTGCAAGATAAAATGTGTTAGTTTGGAGAACATGTGTCCGATTTTACTAAGAATTTTGTATTCGGAACGCTTACAACATTTCGATTAATGTAAAAATGTTTATGTTTTACTTTACAGATTAATTCAATTACTCCATGTTAGTTGACAAATTAGTTATTTAAAATTTTGTAATAATGTATGCTTTCTATGTTTTCTATATATGCAAATGTTAGGGTTTGATATGAAAACATAATTATTTATACAGTAAGGTTATATGACTTAAGAGTAATATTTACCTAATAAAATATTATTTGTAGTGTGCGAATAGTAAATTCATAATAACTATATAGGTAATAAAGTGAAGTTCCGTAACAATAATTATTCACTTATGGTTATAGTTACTTGTATTGTTATTGCCTTTATTTAGTTATTTAGATTCAAAATGGAGTCTTTAATTCACGTTCAAAATGATTTTTACACACGAATTAATAAGACTAGAGCTAATTTTAAGAAATCTCCTAAAGGTCGTATTACAGAAGAATATGTAGAGAATAGATTAAAAATAATAGAAGAGTTGTGGTCAGAGTTTAAGTCAGGTCATAAGGAGCTTTATAAATTAGCAGATCCAAGTAAATTAAAACTTCATAGTTATGTTACCGATGAAGTATATTATAAAATGGAAGAAGTATATTTAGATCACAAATGTGAATTGATAGAATTATTAAAAAGTTTTATTCCTAAAAGATCAGATAACGAATATTTATCTGCCAGTGGTGATAATAATTCTGCAGGTGCTAAGTCTAGCCATGTCAGACTGCCTAAAATTAATATTCCTATATTCTCAGGAAAATATAGCGAATGGATTACTTTCCGCGATTTGTTTCAATCTATGATTCATAATAATTCATCCTTAGATAAGGTACAAAAGTTACATTACCTTAAGGGATACCTGACAGGCGAGGCAGAGCAACTAGTACGTCACATACCTGTGTCTGAAACAAATTATGACTTGTGTTGGAAACAACTTGAAGATCGGTATAACAATAGAAAATACTTATCTCACTGTATACTTACAAGGCTTCTAGGTCAAAAAAGTGCTGTTGTAGAATATGCAGGTTTTCTTAAAGACTTATTAGATACTTCTACTGAATGTTTAAATGCTTTGGTCAACATCGGAATAAATGTTTCTTCGTGGGACATTATTTTAATTCATGTACTCGCGTTAAAATTAGATCCCGAATCACGTAAACAGTGGGAATTAAATATAAGTTCTAATACAAATGCCGACATATTACCTACCTTTCAACAATTTAAGGAATTTCTTACCAGTAGATACAGATCGCCTCAAAGCTCGTGTGGCACGACGTCCAGAATTGGCGCGAGAGGGGCCCTTCATGCCCCTCCCACACCTCTCTTGTTGTCCGTGAGTTTTTGAGGTGGACCGAACACCGCCGGATTGCACTAGAGTTTATTGAGCCTAATAATAGTAATAGACGGTCAGATTCAAGAAATTTAGTACAAAACTCTGTTAAAACTAGAGTACTACATGCAAATGTATTCGAAGTAGTATGTGAATATTGTGCTGGTAATCACAAGTTATGTTTCTGTAAAGAATTTAGTTCAAAAGGTTATGACAAAAGACATGAGTTTGTAGCAAACAATCGTATTTGTTTCAATTGCTTAGGAAGTAATCATTCTGTAAGATTCTGTCAAAAGGCTACAAATTGTAGGATATGCAAAAAACGACATCACTCTCTTCTTCACCCACCAAATATGACTCCAGAAACTATCAATCAAGGTGTGTCGACACAGAAGGTCACTGAAGTTGCTACTACAAACAATGAAAATGAGCCCACAGTGGATTCAATAGTAACTTGTTTGGGTACAAGTGAGTTAAGAAAACAAGTACTCTTAGCTACAGCTCTGGTAAAAGTCAAATCAAGTTCAGGTCAATATCAAGTTGTTCGAGCACTCATAGATCAAGGTTCACAAGCCTCATTTATTACAGAAGATACCTTGCAGGAATTAGGTTTAAAAAGGTCATCTGTAAAGGGTATTATCTCAGGACTTAGTGAAAATAATAGTTCAGTAACTTCACAGGGAATAGTATTATTGAAAATTCTATCAATGTTTGATCCTACATTCAAAATTAATGTTACAACACACGTGTTAAAACAAATTACCTCTCGTCTGCCTGCTAAACAGATAGCTGAAATAAATTGGATTAAATCAGCGAATATTACTCTTGCGGATCCTCAATATGACTCTCCTAATAAAATTGATCTTTTATTAGGCGCTGAAGTGTACAGCCAGATTTTACAAGGCGGAATAATGAAGAACGCGGCTATGAAGAACGCGGCTGGATCCACTTTAGCACAACGTACATCTTTAGGATGGATATTATCTGGATCTGTTGAATGTACAAATGTAGACGACAATATAGTAGTTCTACATAGCCATATAGAGGAAAATGATATGTTGAATCGATTTTCGGAACTGAAGTCAGAGAGTATGAATAGTTCAAAGAAAATGTTGACTCCAGAGGAAGAACAATGTGAACGAATTTTCACATCTACCACAAAACAGAACAAAGATTGCCGATATATTGTGAAACTACCTTTACGCGAGGATGATACTTGCGAGGGCGGCAAATCACGAAAAACAGTAGTGGAAAAGTTTAAAGATCTGGAAAAAAGATTCAAAAGAGATAATGAGCTTAAAAAAGATTATACAAAGGTAAATAATGAATATTTAACTTTAAATCATATGAAAATGATGGAACAGCCCGATGATGAAGTAAGCCAGTCAGTTTATTCACCACATCATACAGTCGTTCGGAAGAAAATGATCACTACAAAGATGAGAGTAGTTTTCGATGGTTCCTGTAAAAATAAAAAAGGTATATCATTTAATGGTAACTTGTTAATTAGTCCTAAATTACAACTAGAGTTACGTCATTTTATAATACGTTGGATGCATCAACCAATTTCTCTTACTGCAGACATCATTAAAATGTGCAAGATAGTTAAGGTAACAGACAAAGATACTAATTATCAACACATGGTATGGAGAGAAAATATAGATGATGAGATACGAGATTACAAACTGCTAACAGTTACATTTGGTACATCATCTGTCCCATATTTAACAGTGAGAGCTATGAATCAAGTAGTAAATGGTGAAAAAGCTGAATATCCGCTTGCATCAAGAAGAGTAAACTGTGAATTTTATATGAATGATTTAAAGAGTAGAGGTCAAACTATAGAAAAAGCATTAAAATTTTATTATGAAATGAATGCACTATTAAATAAAGGCGGTTTCATATTGCAGAAATGGTATAAAACAAGTAATAAAGATCAACTAAATGAAATGATAAATAAGGATAATGAAGAAAATAGAAAAATAGGAGATATTAAGGGAAATGTGAAATTTAAAACAGACAATGTAGTATATTTGAGAATTAAAGATAATTTCTCTAGCCTCAAACTTATAAGAGTCCTAAACCTAGCATATAGTAAGGAGGATGACTTACCTTCAACAAAATGGCTTTTTGGCAGAATAGTACAGAAACATTCTAGTACGGATAACACAACTCGGGTTATCTCGTTAAAATATAAAAGGCTATTATTGTGCAGCGTCTAAAACTATGTATACTCCCAATTGATAGTGAGTAATATTATATTAATGATTTATGTATTTAGGCATAATATAGTAGTTCAATTGTATTAAGTACTTACCTCATATGTTCAGTTTAATTTCCTATATTTCATGTTCTTTAGTTCAGTGGTTCCATGGTGGGCGGTTTTTTAAAAAAAGGACATGTTGTCCTTGGTGGGCGGAATGTTAAATATCCCACTGTTATATGTCCATTGTATACATACAAACATGTTTTCATCTACTATATATATATAGAGGTTTATTTAGTTCACTTATTCGGATAAATAAATAGATAATACTGGCAACTGAGAAACGCTCGCGTTGCCATGGTGACCACAAATAACAGAAAAAAGTAAGTTCTTATTAAAAATGTTTGTATAACAGGACAACGTTTTTTTATTTATCACAAAATTAATTAAATAAACCGAGTAGTTCCTCAAGATCCTTATTCAGGATTATTCAACAGTTGTGCCCCTAAAGATCTGACCTAAAATCTGGTGTATATTTCATCTTGATAGGCCATCTAGTCAGTATGTATAATAGTCTCGTTCAGATAGTCCATCAATTACAATTTCCATATCTTATTTCTTCGAAATTGATCGAAACAATAACAAAATCAACATTAAATCATCATTTTTAATCATATAATAATTTAAATTTACACAATTTTTTAAATAATAATACTTCATATTCTAGCATATTTCTTTTTAAAAGTCCGGCAGCATACCTGCGATGCATCTGGTGTTGCGGAAGATCATGAGCGGTGGTGGTCATCAGGTGAGCTGTATATTCGTTTGCCCATTGTATTATAAAAAAAAAGTTACAATAAATTATAAATAGCCTTTTAGCACACCACATCGAGGCAGCGTAACCAAGATACTGGCGGCATTATCTCATCACCTAATTTATTTATTTTATTTATTTATTAAATACAAGAAATTTACAACAGCGAGTACATTGAACCCGCACTAGATGAACCTGCATCGCGGGAGTCCATAAAAGATTACCAAGACACGGTGATTTACAAATATAAATTAAATTAAATTAGTGAGCCAGTTTTATGAAAACGACAAGTTAAAATGACATCGTTCTCTATTATGAAGTGCTTCGTAAAGATGTCTTCACGAATAAAACAGACAATTATATCAGTTCTTTCAATATTATATAAATAAATACATACAATTAAATATACAAAAGACATACACTACTATATACGAATATCAATAAATGTTATTTAATATCAATTCTGTGGCATCGTAATCCAGATTTAATCTAATCATAATTATGTGTAATCTTTTTGTAAAAGTTGCAGTGACAAATATACTGACAAACCATCTGAAAAAAAGTGATAACCATCGACTTTAGACATGAACAAAACTACAAATAATACAGAATACATCGTAACACCTGTGGTACGCCATGCGTTGCCATTCCTGAGGACCAAATTCACTGCTAATTCTCACCATTCAAAGCGAATAACAACCATGGAAGCACAGTTATTTTAAGGCAAAAATACAAGTGGGACAAAGGTACCCATGCGGAAAAAGAAATAGAAATTTTATTAAAAAAAAACGTCACGATCACCAAATGTCGTGAAATGCAATAATTGTTTAAAACATTTGTAAAGCTTTGTTCAGAAGTGGTACAAGGTTCGACATTACGTTTCAAAAAAGCCTAATGCTGTTTCGTACTCATAGAGATATTTTATATCTGTATGAGGACAAATATCTTTAGGTATCACAAGATAGGATAATATTACCAGAAGGAGACTTTGTACAAAAGTCGATTGCTTCGGTACTTCTGTCCCATTCGTGTTTTAACCGTAAAGCAGTTGTTTGCATGGCTGTGTTTCGGTTTAAACAGTGGGATATGGCGCGAATTTACTAGGTACGGAGGAATAACATCTGAGTCCTCAGGAATAGCATGAGGCATGCATGGGGAGTTAACAACAAAAATGTATGATCAAATTAAGATTAAACAAATTATACTTTTAACTAACATTCTTTTAAATTATTACACAAATAATCTATAAAACTCCATAAAAAATGGACATTTTGATTATGAATTTATTAATATTGTTTTGATGGGTGAAAATGGTATGGTAACCCCGCCTGCGCTAACGGGGTACTCTGGCGGAGCACCAGTGAATGGTGATAGATGAGAATGAAAAAAGGCCAGTTAGCCCATCATGATGAAGTCATCAGGAATTAACCATGATAGTTTCCAGGGGGAACCGCGAGGAGGTCGACCTGGTTGGGTATATTGCTAGCAATGGGATTCTCAGTCTCCATTACTAACAATCCTTTTCCCCCCAATTTATTAATATTAAAAATTTCTGTGTTGTTCTGGTTCACGAAATTTGATCATAATCAATTTTGTAGTTTAGTTTTTAAATCAAAATATCTGGTTTTGTCACAATTGAAGTCGGTTTTTTTCTGGAAAACAATCTTAAATTATTATTATTATTTATCTGGCTATAAATAACAATTTCTTATAACATATGGATATTTTGATTATCACATAGTGTATTGAAGTAAATTGTACTCATGATGTAGTCAAATAACCTAATGCAAGTTATGCTCACTATAGGATCATGATAGTGTGGTAGAACTGGTCGTTAAGCTCCGTATAGTTGATATATACGCTGGCTCATCCATCATACTCGTGAACGGATGCTGCCTGTGAGAAGTGTGAACCACTCATGATTGCTTGGTTATGCTATTATTATTTATATTATTGAATAATACATAAATTAGAACTTACCTAATGCTAAACTATACTAGTCACAGCAAATGTATAAATATAAAATGAACTTGTACATAAATAAATTGAAAAGAGTAACTCTCAAGTTTCTGCGGATTCTACTCAGCAAATAACATTCCGAACCTAACAGCAAAATTATAAAAAAATAATAATTTAAAAGAGCTTGTAAACAAGTCTATTTAATTAAGGATTATTGCTGTTCTATTGTATTCACAGTATGTATAAAACTTTACATAAATCTATAATACCTACATGAAGCATGCTTAGGGGAAACGCAGCGTTATAGTGTTAATATTGTCCTACTACTTTCACTGTACTCTCGGATAGAATTCGTGATCCGATCGCTTCCTAGCCCTCCAGTCACGAGCACCGCCAGCTTTGCATAGATAGATCGCAAGACGAATGACTGACAGCAATTCCGCTCACTTTGTTGTGATTTGCACGATAAAGATGTATGCAGTTTGTGCCTTGGTCCTTTCTAATTCGGACTTTATAATAGTTGTCGTAATCGACTTTGTACGGACAGCATCAAAAGTTCTAAAATTAATTATTGCATTAGGAAAGAGCGATATCTAATGGAATAATAAATGAATGAATCAGAACGACCTCCAAATAGTGCTTCCTAGAAAATATCGTTTGATTAATTCTTGGTTGGTCAAATTGACCCAACTTCATTCTTATCTACCATCCTTTACTGGTACCTTGCCAGCATATACCGATATCGCAAGCAGAGTTATTCTATTCGTCTCATAAAAAAAGAAAATCATAAACGCCTGCCACAAAAGAATTAGCAATGTAGTTTATAGAATTGATTATTAAGTATTATATTATTATTCTTCCTAGAAAGAAAAATTAATAAATTTATACGATTAGTGAATACTTGCTTCCTGGTAGTTTCATTAATGACATATGCGTATTAAAGAGGAGGGTTGGATGAGCCGTGCCCGCCCCAGCATACAGTCGGAGTTTTTAACTATGCTCAAACATTTGAGAATACATAATGCCTTTTTTAAGGGGCCAGGCAGCCTCTAAAAAGAAATCTTAAACATGCAGTGTTCAGTGTTGATCAACACATATAACAAAATGGTAACTGGTCGCTGTCTATACATGAAAGAAATATATGAAAAACTATTGTAGGAGGGCTTTATGACCGCATTAGAACCCAAAGCAATGATTTTTAGAATTGTCTCTTTGTACGTTTGTATACGCTAATCTCAGAAACAACCGATTTGAATGCGGTTCTCACTGTGTTGCGGTTAGCGCCGCCTAACATATAGTGTTTGTTTTATTTCAATTGATTCATAAGTTATATCAATCTAAAGAATCACATATAAAATGCTATAAAATAACTAATCAGTTGAATTAACTGAAACTTTATGAAGGTAATGGGTAAGTAATTATCATTTAAGTATATAATACAATATAAGACCGGATTCATAAAGAGTTCCAATGGGAATGATATAAGGGAACTACATAGTTAAAGGCAGGCAACGCTGCGGGAAACGGCTAGTACGAAATATATTACGTATTAAATAAATAATTATAATAAAATGTTTTCTTTCTCCTCACAATGGTTATCATTAAGTTTAAATTATGTGAAGCAGGCTAACAATAAAAAGTGATACAATTTGCCTTTGCGAGGGACTGGTATCTATACTAGGTTAATATCTGTGTTACAGAATCACCAGACCCTCGCCCAAGTTGTCTAAAGATTGAATGGAATTGTAATAATTATAAATGATGATGAATGATGGTGATATATGAAAAAAAAATGTAACTTACTGTAAAAAATAAAATTCAAAAAAATTCAAAATTCAAAAATCATTTATTCATATAGGACATTTTAGCCGCTTATGAACGTCAAATTTTTACATTATAATTTTATTTTTTTCCCTACCGTCCAGTTCGGTATATAGATCCAATTGAGAAGAACTGGCAAGAAACTCAATTGAATTATTTTTTTTTTTAAAGCCAGTTTATTTACAATGTATATTTATATAGGTGTCTATGTCTAACATTAAATGAAAATAATAATAAATAATCACAAATAATAGTAACATACAAGATTATAGAATATCTTTCTGGCCAGGAACCTCTAAAATTTGTCGTGATAATTGCTAATTGCTATCTGATATAACACAATATGATTTTTATACAAATCAAATACTTTATAATACAAGATGTTTAAATTTACTTGAATAAAACATGAGTTTAGTTGCATTAATTATGTTAAAATTAAATATTACAACTAAAGTATGGCCTCTCATGACTAAGGGTCCCGAATGACCCCAAAACGACTTGAACATTCTCAACTAAAATATACGAGAGTCAATCCAGGAGTTCTTATATTAAATTTGATGAGTACTTATCGAAAATTTTAACAATAAAATAAAACACATTTAAAAAAAGACTCATAATATATTTAGTAACTTACATAAATTAAATTAGTATAAAGTAAATTACATACTAATAGGTATACAATATAATAAATTGTCACAGCACTACAGAGGTATAACTTTAAGAATTTTAATAATCAAACTTAATATAAGATTATATACATTATCTAAACTAATGAAAAATACAATCATGATGTAGTTACATAAGAAAATATCTTTTTTTAGGTAATATAATGAATACATAGCTCCATATTTTGATACATATTGAAAATTAAGGAAATCACAATAGCAAAAATGGTACCAGATAAATTGGATAGTCAATCCTGGGTTATGTTTAGGACTGTGGAAGGTAAAAAAGTAGCTTATATGCAGAACCAGCCTTATCTTGTACACCTAAGTAAATTAAAAAAGGCTCAAGGATTCACTGTTCCTTCCAAAGTACTAATATCGAATTTTATACAGTTGAAATCCTTTATTAAGATACATCTCTTTTAGACTACTTAAATCATCTCTGCATAGAAGCCACTTTTTCATTAATCTCAGTGAGCATCTGGGCAGACTTATGGATGTTTTCAAATTGGTAGCCCATATGTACAGAGATCAGATGCATCTTCTTAAGATTTTCTTCACTGCTCTCCATCAAGTTTTCTGTTCCAGCAAACTCTCTCGCTGCTTTTGTCAGGAGCTGCATTAAACAATTATTCATTTACTTTTAAATATATATTTTTTGTTATTGTTTATATAAAAAATATTTTTAATAAACAATAACAAAAACTAAAATTTCTAAATGGCTTATTCTGTAAATATTTTAAATACAGATTTCCTATTAGTTCAGGTGATCCTTACTATCCACAATAATCAAATCAAGACATGAGAATTGCAAAAAAAAAATAACTTACATACTGTTAGAACATTACTGATGTTATATCATTCATAACCAATAAGGAAACTAGGGAAATAAAGTACAGATGAGTCTGAGACTCTGAGGCTGATGACTCTGATAAGTCTGATAAGTAAGTAAGAAGTAAGATGCACAGTTATTTTTCTGTGAAACATTAAAATCTTATTCTGTTATGTATGAAACAGTTATTAATTTAGAAAACTCAAGTCAGCCATAACAAGAGGATATGCAAATTAAAAAGCATGGTATATAGCAAAAAATGAATGAAGTATTATCAGTTATAGTGACCCTTGTTTACATTCCTAGTTTACAAAGTAAGGTTAACTTCTGCTCCGAAGACTATAGCAGTTAATATATAATACATTATCCGCAATGAATCAACCTGACCTTATCATCATCATCATATCTGCCTTTACCTGACCACTACTGAACATAAGCCTGCTCCTTGGAGGAATTTGGAAGTAATTGCCGCACTTGGTAGACAGATTGGCAACCGCAGTTAGACTTTGGAGATATTTTAAGAGAGACATTGCTGCCCATACCTTGCCCTTCCTTAGTCACATCTTACGACACACATGGGTAAGGAAAGGGTGGCCTATTTTATGCTGGGACCACACTGCAATCCAACCTGACCTTATCCTCACATATAATCCATCACTAAAAAACACTAACTAATTCCACTAGGGATGAAAAGGATTAGTAATAGGGTTTAAAATCCCCATTGCTAACAATATACCCTATCAGGTTGACCTCCATGTGGTTCCCATGAATTGACCTTTACCTAACATCTCTATCAATGGTGCTCTGCCAGTGTATACCATCAGGGACGGTGAGATAACCATTCCATTATCATCCATTTAAAAATATACTCCATTGCTAGCAATATAGCCTATCAATTCCACGTGGTTCACCCTGAAAACCATCGTGGTTATTATGGAATTCGTAACAATAGATGATGGTCACTATTTCACCAGCCTATCATCCTCGCCTATCATTCCTCACTGGTACCTCGTTAACGTATAACGACAAGGAAAATCAAGCAATCTTTCCAATTGAAACAAAATACTAATCACACTAACCTCATTTGATTTAGATCCTCTTTGTATCTGACGTGCTAACGAGGATATATTATTCATATTTACTTGAACTCGTTCCGCAAGACGTTGTTTCGATTCAGCGAACAGCGAACGAGCGCTACTCGACGATGCCGACGTCATTATAACAATTATTAAATTACATGCATCTAATAATCATAACTTTAATTAATTCCTCAATTAAGCACTAAAAACAGAAATAAATCCCCTTTGCTGGTTTTTAAAAATATTGATTTTAAAATGCCACAGCAACTGTCAAAATAAGAACTGTCAAAGTCAGTTGGCAAACTACATGTAGAGTCATTGACACTAGTCAATTCATGTCTAAGTGATAAAAATTTTGATTACGGTTAATGAAATGCGTTTATACAATATGTAATAATCAGATGATATAATATAATGACATACAAGAGTATACTGTTTCTAATCCAGCAGACAAATGTTCAATTTAATTTTATCGATTTAAATCGAATATTCACATATAACAAGGCATTCAATTTTATATATTTCAACGTATATAACATATATTTATAGTGATATACAAAGAATAGCCATGATCGTATGCCACCAATTAAATTTACAGGGTACAGAGGAATAATAGCTGAATCTTCAGAAATGGCAATGTATGGAGTATGGGGGTTATCATGGGCGTAACAGTATACTCTGTTATGTCCATGGTACCGCTCATGTCTATAGGCAACGTGCCTGTAGTGTTGCAGGCGTTCATAAACTACTATAACCATTTACTATAAGATGGATCTACTTACTACTTATTTGCACCTCGATGATATATAAAAAATAAATATTAATTAACACATTATTATTTCAGATAAAAAGATTTTCTTGTTTCATACTTTTTAGGATGTGATTATTCAGTAGTCGGGCTTTATTTTATAATATTATTTTTTTATTAAAATTATTTTGTAATAATAATTTCGTAATAAAGTATTTGCAAATCTGTTTAAAATTTACAAAGCAAATAAAAAAATATGTTTTGCTCACATTTTAGACGTGATTTTAGAAATTACACCAAATTATAGGGTGCATCAAGACAAGAAGCGAGCAACAGCTAAAAATATATAAGTACAGATTTTAAATGTGGTAATTAATCACTTTTATTTAATGCATAACACTGCATTATAATATTATTATTTTTTTATAACTTTTTGTCCTTTAGAGGGCGCCATATTCATTTTAATGCGATATTATATATCCTATAACCAGCGGACAATCAAATTACTTCAAACGATACCTCATTTAGCCTAGCTTTTAAGGAGCCAAAGCTTAGCTCCTTAAAAATAGCGTATATGCACTTTACAACATGTCTTCGCAAAACTTTGCTTGCATCTTAGGGAGAGCATCAGACAGTTCTAGGGTGGGTACGGCCTTTACAGCCATCTCTAAATACGTATCTGCATTTGTTAAATTTTGATAAGTAATTTAAATGTCATAATAAGCTAGTTGACCATACATATGTACATACATACCTGTTAAAATCATAACCCTCATTTGTACTTCGCCGTAGTCGGGTAAAAAAAACTACGTAACAATGATAAGTATTACCTTTATAGAGTTAATAACTATCTCTAAAAATTTTGTTAAAAGTCTAAGATTAAGTTCTTATAATTGATCTTTATCAAAGATTCAATCGAATCAAATCGGATACACGAGTGAATACAGATTTTGATTCATTCATTTTGTTTCATTGTTTAGTTTTATTCATACGATTGACTTTTCGCTTGTCACGAACTTACGGAAGGTTTTAATATACCTACAAGAAATTTCTGTAATCTAATTCAATTATTTTATTATTTCTTCAAAATGTTCCTTTATCTTCATTCTTATATTAATCTTGTTATTTCTTCCGTACTTTTTTTTTCAATCTTGGTCACAATACAATAAATAATGTTCTTTATTTACAAGACGTCAGTGGATAAGTAAACTTGTTTTCGTGTTTGTGCTTATTAATTCAACACAATGGATAAAGGAGTGACATGTGAGCATCTAAATAAGCTAGCTGACTCTCTAGAAAAAGAGTTATGGCAATCAAAGGAGGTGAGGATATTTTTTTGTTAACTAACATAACCTCAAACTTAGGTAATGTCACGATAAATAAGCAATTTAATTTCTCTACACTCTGGTATATAATTATGCAATCCTATACGTAAATTGCTAGAATTCCTAGCATGTAAACTGTCTTTAACAACTCCTTTTTGCATGTAATAATAGTTTTTATTTAATTTTTTTTCTGTCAATATTTATAAGTATACAAATTTTTATTATTAGTTTACATTTTAAAGAGTGTTTTAGTATAACGATTATCGTTATAAACAAAGATTCGCGTTTATTTATGACAACAATGTACACACTATCATTGACTTATTAGCATATGTACATTGTACAGTTTAAAATCTGTCTCAATGACAGCTCATATTATCTCTTGTGAAAATTGTTGTTTTACAATTTTGTAATATTTGTTTTATCACCATGCATTTGATATAAAATTCCAAGGAGCTCATAATGTCAAATATTTAGAATCACATCCACTAGATCTATCTGAAACCTTAAATACAGAGAAGTTGGAAGGTAATAGCAGTGAGTGGCAAGAATGAGGGATGGCAAATTTGAGATTGAAAGCAATTGATAATAAGAAAATGTGATCATTTTGCTTTTTTTTTCATTAATACTAAATCCATACTTAATCTGGAAGTAAGATTATTGTATCGGACAATACACCTTGGCAATCCCAGAATTAACAATCAGTAGTTAACCATGCTCTGGTATTCTATCAAATTAAATACTGATAATACATCAGATGCTATTGGTATTTTTGTATTGTAAAAAATTCCTAATACAAATTCAATATTATTTCAAGATATTTATTATTAGCTTTTTGACTGTTACTTTGAATGCGTGAAACTACTTCTAAATAACATATCAAGATAAAACATAACATATACCAGATTTTATGTTAGATCTTAAGAAATTTCTAAAAAATATTATTTTGGTGTCTATTGGTCATATTAGAACACTGATTTTTTTTTTTTGTCCCATGTACAGATATTATTTAGTTACATTTTTATTATATTAGTAAGATAAGAACTTTCAATTATAATAAAATGGGACAATACATATATTGTTGTTTAATTTGTTGTTCTATTACATGTTATCTATGTTGATTTAACTTCTCACTTAACAAGAATTTGTAAATATATTATTTATAATAAGAATATTGGTATTATAGATAGAGAAATAATTAAAGAGATAGTATGTAATGTCTATACTAAAACAGATACAAGTGATAATAGTAAATATTTCTGTTACAGACATTAGCATGTTTTGACTGCGGGTGTCCTGGGCCCAATCTATGGATATGTCTGCAACCTGATTGCCATCACATTGGCTGTTCTGAAGTTAAAAATGATCATAGTACTATACACCAAAAGGTATGTAACTTGTGTCAGAAGTGAGACATATTGTCTTATTAATGATAACAATATTGTGGCTTTGACTGCATATAATAAAAATTATCCAGTTGCTATTGTCCATCTGTTTACCAAATTTAATAAAAATTTTGTTTTGCTATTTAAGTATTACTTCCCAATACACTTTACAGAATTTAAGTTAATTATTAGAAATTATTAGAAAAAAACATTATTGAATGTTATTTGACTATTTTTTTTTTATTGAAAATCATTTATCAGAAAGGTCTATATGGAAGTCAACCTTAGAAAGTTACTAACAATCCCCTCCACAATAAAAAACCAAAACTATGTTTTGAACATAGGTTATTTGAAATGGAGAAACTGATTACAGAATAAAAAATAGTAAAAAGACTTGGTGGCGATGTGAATTAGTTATCTATAACTGATAAGATAGCTACTTATATTATTTTGCCAATACACCTGCTTAGTTCTTAGAGTTAAAGTTCTTAGGGAAATTGAGATGCTCCGATTATCACTCATTTTGGTATCTTCCAAACCATTCAGATATCTGTATTAATTTCAATTGAATACTGCATTTCAATATATATTGAACAACTGATATCTAATGTATCTGTTATTAGCCTAATATATAGATGTCACTATCACAGTATGTAACTACCCTAATATCTTGACTACTAATGTTGCCATTCCTGTGAACTAAGATGTTATTCCTCAGTACTTTGTAATTTGTTGAATAACAACTATTGGTCACCTGACATGGGTCATACTGTATTGTAATTATTTATACAACTTTAATAATGAGTAAAACTGACACAAATACAATGCCCTGTAATTTCACTACCATATCTAACTATTTAAACCAAAACACGACCATGTAAGCACAGCTGCTTAGCTACAGAAACACGAGTGGAATAAAGACTTGTACAGTCTCAATGTTAAATAAATCTCACTCAATGTTAAACAAATAACAGCTCAATTGAGAGGCTAAGTGCAGAATAGTTCAGACAAATTATTATAAATGTTACCTTTTGGCACCTTAAAGGCTGACCAACAACCAAAACCAATTACTGTGTAATTTAATATATATGTATTATATGACATAAAGAAGTATATAAGCTACTTTTTATCCTGGTTTGTAAACATATGTTAATCATTCGAAAGAAGTTGTGGGTAAAAGCTAGTATAAAAATAAAAGCATCTAAAAGTAGTGGCATTTTGTGAAATACTCTTTATTGTTTTCTCTAAAATATTATATTATTAAACTTACTATAAACACAAACAATTACAAGAAATTACCACACTGAGAAAACAATGAACAGCCTTATCTCTTTCAGGTGACCTTTGGATGGAGAGGAGTAATTATAAACAGTCTGATGGAGGCACAATGAAAATTCTGCCATTTTTTAATTTTATGTAATGTTTAGAAATGTATATGTGACTTCTGTTATCAGACATGACTAACATTAGTTATTATTTTTCCAGAATTTTCCACCACATTGCGTCCATATGAATGTGTCCACCGAGAGGATATGGTGTTATACGTGTGAAAAGGAAGTCCACATTAGAGCAGCGCTAGCACATGGAGTAAGTATTTATTGATTACTGACTTTTACCTGAACATTGTCCGCGTGATCGGAATATGAGGGGGTTCACTGATCGGGGTAAAAAAGTAGCCTATATTAAAGTTTTTTCAGGTATCTGATGTTGCAGAAGTCCATGGACTACAGTGACTGTTTACCAGTAGATAGGCAAATTTTTTTTTATACAACTTAAAATGGCAAACAAGCTGACGGCCCACCTGATGGAAAGTGGTAAACGTCGCCTATAGACATGAGCAGTACTATGGACATAAGAGAGTATACTGTTTCGCCCATGATACCCCCCATGCGTTGCCATTCCTAAGGACTCAGGTGTTATTCCTCCGTACCCTGTAAATTCACGCCATATCCCACCCTTCAAACCGAAACACAGCCATGCAAACACAACTGCTTCATGGTAGAAACACGAATGGGATGGAATGGAATGCTGTATTCCCATTTACCACCTCTGGTATAGAAAATATTTACCCTCTCTTGAAATATCCTAAGTGTGTTTTGTATTCTTCCTCCATTACAGCATTATATATTTTTTGTCAAAATCTACAAAGCCTGAAAAAAAACAAGTAATGTTATTATGAGATAAGGACGTCCACTAAGTAAAGAATATTCTAAAATCTATGATATAACATACTGAACCATAGAATGAATCGAGTAATAATTAAAATTTCTAAAATCTATTGTCTTGGTCTTCAGATGCATTCGGAGACTGCTTCTATTGACGGCTCAATAAGCAGCGCACGTTTTAGCACAGCAGGATTGGCAATGCAAGATGACGACCTCGATCCAGAAGAGATGGACTATGAGGATGAGGCGAGGCCAAGAGGTGATGTATTATTGTCAACTGATCCTGGCCACAACATGTATTTTTAAATTAGTATTATAAAAAATTGCTATATATTAATTAGGCTTTGCCCATGGTCGAATCATTTCATTAAAAAATTTTAGGAGACATTTCTGATGGGGAAGTCTCAGTCACCCCACTGTCAAGTTTGTGAAATCTTAAATTTACACATAAAATAATTAGGATAAAATGAAATTAATACGGAACTCTGCATGGATATGCAACATATATTAGAGTGTCATATAAAATCGATGGAAAAAAGAATTCATGTATCATTTTCACTTAAGCTAATCTAGCTGAACTTTAAGATAAGAGCTTTTTTAACATCTCCGTAAATTATGAATGCCTATTAATTAATTTCTTTTTATGAGTAGACAAACTAAATGAGATCATACCTAAGAAATCAGTCCAGGGTATGATAGGATTAATATACCTGAAGAAGGTAAAAACTTTGAAAATTGAATGGAAAAAATCAACATTCTTCAACATTATTATTTCATTTGTTGCCCTTTCTGATATGTATATTTAAAAAAAATATATACTTATAACCAATGTTATATTTCAGCAGGTTTGGTTGGACTACAGAATATGGGTAATACGTGTTACATGAATGCAGCGTTACAAGCTCTCAGCAATACGGCACCACTCACGTCATACTTTCTAGAATGCTCTGCAGCCGTCGCGGTGTTAGCGGCCGATAAGAAGCCGGGATTAAGTCGGTAAGGTATCATTAACTGTTTCTCTCGATATATTAAAAAAATTGACTTCCAATCCAAATTTTATTTTTTATGTTTACTATCTGTATATTTTTGCGTATAAACCTGTCTCATAAAAAACTATATTCTTGTTTACATTTTTAATAAATTATGAGTCATTCTGTATATGTTTTAGTATAGTTACGATAATCATTTATTTTTGTAGGGCATACCAAAAACTAATTAAAGAAATGTGGAGTAGAAAAACGAGAGGCTATGTTGTACCTAATGGTATCTTGTATGGAATACGAAATGTAAGTATATATTACATTTTTAAGGCCAATATAATAATAAAAAAATACTAATTGTTTATTTCTAATATATGGAATTTAATTCATAATAAAAGAGTTTGATTATGGCAAAATATACCAATGATGAGATGTTTTGTAAGTACATTACATTAAAAATATTTGAATTTAGAATCTGAAGTCGTATATCTACAAATCTACAATAAGTTTTTCTTTGCAACAAGAACTTTAATCTGCAAAGAATACCAATGTCTTCAATTGTCATAAAATTAATATGGGTTATAAACTCTATGGTAAATCATACATACTTCCATTGAATTTCTTACAAAAATATTCGCAACTGATAGTAATTGCAAATGTTCTTGTATTACGCGATATTTGTGCTAATTCTTAATGATTTTCTTGTAATTATTAACTTGCAATTATATATGCAAAAATGTGTTAATATTGACGTATGTTTTTTAAATAACGAATATTATTCATAATTACAGGTGCACCCTATGTTCCGCGGCTACCACCAACATGACACACAAGAGTTCCTGCGATGTTTCATGGACCAACTACATGAAGAGTTGAAAGAACCGGTAACTTGACAGCTTAATTCTTCTAGAACTCACGCCGCACTTACTATCTACATTCCGTATGTCAGTTCAATCTGTCCAGTATAAGACAAGGAAATTACAGTGTATAAAGACATATATCATCGTCCACAGATATAACAAAACAAGAATGATACTATGTTTTGTATGTAATATCTATGGTGCTATTCTAAAGGCTACGGTACAGCTTGTTTGCCATTCTGTGTTGTGTATAAATGTTAATATATTGTCTTTTATATCCCTATATTTATTAAAACTCTTGTTATTACTCCCAATATTAAAAATATTAAACTTTGTAAAGACCTATACAATCATTCGAACAGATATTTATTGCTCAAACATGCTAGTCCTAAATGGATTTAATTGAAATTACATGGATAAACTATGTCTTAGATGGATACATATAATATTTTAGTATACCACAAGTAGTAGTGGCATTATATTAAGTCTTGTGTAATCTTATTATGATTTTTATTTTACTTTTCAAGGTATGGGACACTACGTCAGAAGATAAACTTGGTTCTGAAGCAGACGGTGACCACTCAAATGGTAGAAATGTACATATTCGACGACGGGCTGCCTCTTCAGGGGGTGAGCTATATATTTTTTTAACTACATTATAGTTGGTTAATTAAGTTTAGGGATCTGGCCCGAAGGACCAAAAAAATGTATTTTAGATACTAAGTGCAGAAAATAAAGTCCAATTTATATTACAATAAACAAACAAATTCGCTTTCACATTTGTAATATCAGTAAGGATAAATATGCACTTTATTTATTTTAAAATGAATAAAAACTTTCAGCAAGCGACGCACCATTCTTCGCACGCATGAGGCGGAAATCGCCGGCCGCGTCATCGTACAGCGAATCTAGAACCGATGTATATTTGAGGTAAATTCAAGTTTTGGAAAGGGAGGTTCACCCCTAGTTAATTTAAAGCGAAATATCAAAACAATTTCGTCTCAAGTTAATCTTTAAATGAACGTCACCGTAATTAATTTTTAACATTTACTCAATGTGATTTCATATTGATTGCAATTCTATTGTGTCGAAAGACTTGATATAAATTATAAAAGGAGCTTCCTGCCTATATAAAAAAAATATTTAGGGTTTCCAATTCGCATACGATATCCTTGGTATTGATAGCTTCTATAAACTTAGTAACTGTTTGGTATTAGACGCACGAATACGTGTGTGTGCCTACTCGAGATAAAAAAAAAAACTAATAATGAAAATTGCTACACTATCGTCTGGTTCTCAAGTCAGGACAACCAGAGTTATCTGAAACCAGGTAACTAGTACATGGTGGTATAATTGGACAGAAACTTGGGATAGTAACAAGGGAACTAGTATAAAGGTGAAGGCGAGTCAGTATAAATGTCCCAGTGCGTGGGCGCAGGGTGTCGGAGGGTGCGGAGGGTGTCGCGGGCGGCGCGGGGGGGCGCCACCGTCGCTCGGCCAGCTGCGGCGGCGCACACCACCTCGCCTACTCCGCGCTCGCCAACGTCAACGGAACCACGGGTCGGTATTCATTTTTTTGTACTAAATTCAGAAATGGCAACTCTTGAAAGCTTCTATGAGAGGGAGACTTTGTACAAAAGTCGATTGCTCGGGTACCTCTGTCCCATTCGTGTTTCTACCGTGAAGCAGTTGTGTTTGCATGGCTGTGTTTCGGGTTGAGGGTGGGATATGACGTGAATTTACAGGGTACAGAGGAATAACACCTGAGTCCTCAGGAATGGCAATACATGGGGGGTATAATGGGCGAAACAGTATACTCTGTTATGTACATGGTACTACTCATAACTATAGGCGACGGTTACCATTTTCCATCAGGTGGACCGTCAGCTTGTTTGCCATTCTAAGTTGTATAAAAAAAAAAACTATGAGAATCGTTTGTTTGTCATCTCTTCATGTCTATAAGCGATGGTTACCATTTTTCATTAGGTGGGTCGTCAATTTACCATTATAAGTATCATAAGAAAGTTATTATTCTGCATGTAGTGTGATGTTGGTTAACGCCTCATATTTTGTCAAAATTAAATCAATATAATTATTATAACCTTGCCAGTATTAAATATTTATCACAGTTTCAATTGCGTCATCGCAGCGGGGTTTATTTACAAAGGTACAACATAATTTTTGCTGTTAAGTAAATGTATTTTCATTTTTTTATCTCGTATATAATATATATAATAATATATTTATATATTTTTTTTTTTGTCTAGCAAACGTGGAGGGCACGCTTACAAACGTTTGCATGTGCTCATAGCCTAATAGTACTAATGTTGAAATGTGGTGTAACTGACAGGCGGTGGCTGGTCGCAGCGGTCAGCTGGTTCGGAATCGGAACTGTCGTGTTCAAGTGAAGCGGAAGAGCGATACGAGACGTGCTCGAGCGGCGCCAGCGACGCGCCCGCGCCCGCTCCCGCTCCCGCTTCTGACTCACACCTTCACCGCACGCTGTACGTATACTTATTTAGCACACCGTAAGGTGCAATTTGTAGTCCAATCTCTTTGCCATGTCCCAAACAATTACTTAACAATTCGGGACGCATTATTCTACATAGATAAGTTCATTGGACGACTGGTAGAAAAGAATTTTGTATTTGACCTAATTCAGACCAGTAATAATTCAGTGTTGGTTTATTCATTATAAAAATGGAATGGTAACCCTACCCCCTATTGGTTTACGCTGACGAATAGGTGAACATATAGTCAAATTAGTTAAGGAGTGGTGATAAGGAAAATACTCTTCATACCATACCCATTAATGTCTTGTCATTATCACTGACTTCATTTCTGTAAAAAGCGACTAGAATTAACCGCAATGATTTCCAGAAGAAGGTGAACAGTGACAGGTTAAAGTTATGAGATTTTTATTTATGAAATGCTAATGGAATAGGCCACCCCTTTCTTTTTTCTCGAAGCATTTCTAAAGAGACACTATATATATTATATAAGCATTTATTATATTTGTTATTATTACCTATCCGCAGTAAGCAGACGAGCGCCGGCGCAGGCTCAGGCGGCGGTGACGGCGGCTGTGGAACGGGCTCAGTGCGGTACCGCAGCGTGGTGTCGGACGTGTTCGACGGCAAGCTGCTCTCGTCCGTACAGTGCCTCATATGCGACCGGGTCAGTGCACGTCACTAGTTCATGTATCGCGGCGTGGTGTCGGCCGTGTTCGACGGCAAGCTGCTCTCGTCCGTGCAGTGCCTCATATGCGACCGGGTCAGTGCACGTCACTAGTTCATGTATCGCGGCGTGGTGTCGGACGTGTTCGACGGCAAGCTGCTCTCGTCCTTGCAGTGGCTCGCGTGGTCGTACTACACGACAATGAGCAGTCGGTGAACGATGTGGTACACCTTTATATACAGGGGGAATTCAACATTATTAAGATTCTTAAAGAAGTGTTCTACCAATGTACATCTTTCCCTAAAAACATTGGTCGAAAAATGACATTTTCTACTAACTGTATGGCAGGCTATATGCCTAATGAATACATAATTTTAACACAGGATAAAAACAACCAATAGTCCAATGCCTTTAATATATTCCGAACAAGAAAATTCAGGACAAGAAATTGCTCTGTGTCAGATATGTATGTTGAATTACTAATAGGTAAGAAAGAAAGAATATGGTATCCTTATTTATTATATATATTATTATATATATATATAAACCAGTCACAGATATATATAGCATATATACTATATATATTTATATTGTGACTACTATAGACTGTGGTTTTTAGTATGCGAATTGTCTGATTGTAGGTGTCGACTCGTGTGGAGACGTTCCAAGACCTGTCACTGCCGATACCGTCGCGTGAGCACCTAGCCGTGCTGCGATGTCAACAGTCCGCTCTCAACCACCACGCTGCCGCTGCTGCCGCCGCCGCGTCCCAGGACTCATGGGTACATCCAATTATTTTATGCAACTTAAAATTAAAACAAGCTCAAAAGTTAGTAACTAATAATGGGAAGGTAATGGTATGGTATAGTAATACCGCCTTCAAATACAAATAGCTTTATTTTGTTTGAAAAATGGTATAAAAGATGGTACAATGTTTAAATATTGTTCAGATTTTTCACCAGAATCTGGCATACAAAATTTATTTGTGATACTATACTATGCCATCGATATACTATATACGCTAGTGGGGTACAAGTGAATGATGAAAGGTGAGATGAAATCAAATCTGTAAGCCCACTCTGATGAATTCACTAAGAATTAACCACTATGTTTACCACAGTCCCTATGAAGATGGACCTAGAAAGTTATATTGAGTGGTAACTGTCGCTTATATACATAAGCACCATGGTTATTATAGAATACTCATTGATATAGATTGATATAGATATTGAATGTAATCATATATAAAGACAATCACTATTTACATTTCTGAAACCTAAGATTAAGCCTCTTTAACTTGTCATTTCACAGCTAAGTCTCACCTTTCTAATCTAAATAAATTTTCTAGTTTTAGGCGCAAAAATATTTTCCGTAATTGTATTTTTTTTTTTTATTTGTTACATCACATTTAAAAATGGTAATAATGTAAAACTTCATATTCAAATAAAGGATTATTTTATTTTTGTATGTATAGTTGTTTTTGAGATATAGCTATTGTATTCACTCAAAATTGTATGCTTAAATATTAAATGGAATATTACAATCATGACAGGTATGGTGGTTACTGAGCTGGCTACGATCATGGTTCTATGGTCCGGTGGTCTCATTGCAAGACTGCCTCGCCGCCTTCTTTAGTGCAGACGAGCTTAAAGGTGATAATATGTACAGGTATGTACCTGATATTTAAATTAACAATAATATTAAATAAATATAATCCTGCTACTTCGGATTTTTGTATGTTCACTTCATCAACAACAGTTTTCAAATGCCTCTAACTACCCCATTCCATATCAGCCGTTAATCATCCACTGATGAACATAGGCCTCCTATTAGGGAGTATTGCTAGTAGATGCCACACTTGGCAAGCGGATTGGCAACCGCAGTTAGGCCTTTGAAATGTTTTAAGAAGGACAATGCTGCTCATCCCTCGACTATTAAGCTCCCCTAGTCGCTTCTTACACCACCTACGGGAAAGGAAGGGAAGCCTATTCTATCCTGGAACTACATAATAACCACTACCCCATCATGAATAATTATTAATTTAACTAATTTAATTTAATTTTGTAGTTATCACCATCAAAATGAAATCACCAATCTGCAAACATATTTCTCTCTCTTCTATAAAAATATTTGCCAAAAAAAGTCAACCATTTGCTCCCTACTTCTTTTTAATCATTCATAAATAGGAAACTCAGCATTTCCAGTTGTTAATATATGTATTTTAACAACACCAGAAGCTGGATTCGATCAGTAATCAATATGTGTATATTGATTACTTACCTATCGAAATATCATGTGATCTGCAAACTAATATATCACTCTTATACAAACGCCTGTAAAAAAAAACAACCATACTTCCCGCCTTACAGTTGCTCCCGATGCAACAAGTTGAGAAACGGTATTAAGATGTCAGGCGTGGTACGGCTGCCGGAAGTTCTATGCGTGCATCTCAAGCGCTTCCGGCACGAGTTAATGTTTAGCGCGAAGGTGGCAGCACGTGTCTCCTTTCCCACGCATGACCTCAACATGGCGCCGTACACTCACAAAGGTACGCACGATTTACGAGCACTTTGTTCTATAAAAATGACCGCCTTCAATCATGTTAGAACACAAATCAACGATGAAATGGTTTATATACAAATTATATCAACCAGATAACATGTGATTTGTAGACATATTAAATTGAAATAAATTAAAATATTTAAATTTAGAACGTGGATTCGTTTGTCAAGTAGATTTTATTTCATAAGAATAATTTTACTAAAAAAGGGCGCTTCAATCGTCATAAAGTAATTATGAGAGTAACGCGGCAATAAAACCTTTTAAGTACAAAAATAGTCATCAAAATTGGTCCAAAATGGTCATAAATTACCAACGAATTAGGAAGACTAGTCCCTTGTCTTGACAAGAGCAGACATGAAGATAATCATAGAGATAATATATTACAGACTGCACATCAAAGGTAACCCGGTACGAGTTGTGTGCGGTGATAAGCCACGCGGGTACCGCAGGCGGCGGACACTACACGTGCGCCGCAAGGAACGGCCGCTCGTGGTACACGTTCGACGACCACAGCGTAGTGCCGCTGCCGCTTCACCACTTGGCACACTGCGAGGCTTACGTGCTCTTCTACAAGTCAGTACTTACACTATGTAACGCATATCACATTTTACTGCACATCACAAGAAATTTATTCGTGTTACATATTCCATTACTACATCGTAATATTACTGCCGCTTTACGACTTAACGCACTGCGAGGCTTACGTGCTCTTTTCTATAACAGTACTTACACTGTGAACTATTATGCTAATATATAATAAGTTTTTTTTTTTTTATGTAGATCTAGAAAGTGCATCCAAATTCATTTAAATAGTGTTTTATATACAAAGTAATAGACCACAGCTACAGGTTTCATATCGTTCTGTATGGTAATAATTAATATTCATTAAATCAAATCGATATTTCAGGAAAGTTAATCCCCAAATGACGGTGCTGAGACAAAAGGCGGCTGAAATAGTGGAATCCACAACTGTGGAGCCAAACGACATTAAATTTTATATTTCAAAACAGTGGATCAACAAGTAAGTGTAACAATTTTTTATTTTATTGCATTAAATCAAATTATATGGTTTTTTATATTTTCTTATCGTTTTTTATAGTTAGTTAAGACGTTATACTTGGAAATATGTAGCTCATCAATGCTTTATAAAGAAAATACGTTCATAAAATAACTGAAAAAAAAAAAACTCTCGAACACAAATATTTATGGACATTTCATCACATTGTCAAATAATTTAAAAATAATTTAGTGATAAGTAGTAAAGATGGCTAAAATTTGTCAACGCTAAGCTTAATTTATAGCGCACTTATAATGTATTTGTATCTTTTTCTTATAATATCATTGGTTGTAATTGGTAGATTCAACACGTGGGCGGAGCCTGGTCCCATAGACAACAGCGACTTCGTGTGTTGCCACGGCGGCGTCCGGCCCGACCGCGCGCCGCACGTGCAGCAACTGGCTGCGCGTGTGCCGCAGCAGCTGTGGGAGTTTCTGCACGCACAGTTAGTACAGGACATGCGGCCACACACGCATATTTTATTACAATACAGTACAGTACACAAGACCTCTCATATACGCTCAGTATGTTTAATACAATAGACACGACGTCACACACATACTTAGTTTGATTTTTCTTTATACAACTTAGAATGGCCAACAAACTGACGGCCCACCTGATGGAGAGTGGTAACCGTCGCCTATAGACATGAGCAGTGCTGTGGACATAACAGAGTATACTGTTTCGCCCATGATACCCCCCATGCGTTGCCATTCCTGAGGACCCAGGTGTTATACTTCTGTACTCTGTAAATTCATGCCATATCCCATTCTTCAAACCGAAACACAGCCATGCAAACACAACTGCTTCACGGTAGAAACACGAATGGGACAGAGGTACCCAAGCAATCGACTTTTGTACAAAGTCTCCCTCTGGTGAGTTTGTACAAAAGTCTTGTGACTTTGTAGATGGTTTTATAACTGTTATCAATATAAATAAAACTTTAAAATAATGATAGGGACAATAATGGACCATTAAACAAACATTTATACATAATAAGAACCACAGACAGCCCTCTATGTCGAAGCTGTTTCGACGCCGAAGAAACAACTACTCACGTAATCCTAGAATATGAAGCTGTGTGAAGTGTGCGTTACCGCTGGCGTGTGGTGCGCAGGTTCGGCGGCGGGCCGGCGGCCACGCACGCGCACGAGTGCGGCGCGTGCGCACGCGCCGCGCGCCGCCTGCGGGCGCGCCGCGCCGCCGAGCTGGCCGCCTTCTACGACCTGCACGCCGCCTTCCAGGTCAGGCCACGCCGCCACTCTAGTACACTTGGATATCACACCTCAAATGTCATATGCTATGCGAAATCATTTCTCATAACAGCTACGGCGCTTTACAAAGAGTGATACTAATCATTCTTAGTTTTTTTTTTTTTAAATTCGTTTTTTCTTTAATGGATGATAATGGAATGGTAACCCCGCCTGCGATGTCGGTATACGCTGGTGGGACAGTGAGTGATAATAAATAATAATGAAAAGCCAGGTCACTTAGCGCATCGTTATGAACGCACTTGGAGTTCAGCACGATGGTTTCCAGGGGGAACTACGGGGAGGTCGATTTGACAGGGTATATTGCTAGTAATGAAACTGACAGTACGCATTACTAACCATCGCAAGTTGCTGCGTTCGGATTTATTCGTGTATCAGCGACTGCGCTCTGTTAGCAGTGAAGTGAAATCACAGCAAACGCCCGATTGAGCCATACGTAACAAGCGAATAGAGACTTTATTACACTGAGTTAAAGTCTTTATTCGCTTGTTCTTATCATAAAAATATTCATATTCCACTTTCATTAGTAAATAGCAAGTGCGACGTAAAGTAAATTTAAGCAAAAATCATATTGTATCCATTAATAAATAGCGGACATTTATATGTTATTTATTAACGGATCATTACAGTTTACGTATTTTAGCGCAAAACAATAGAGACCGCTTGCGCGCAGCTGACGTCACTCCACCTACTTTAGAGCGTCACTCTGCAAATCACCTACTAGTTCCATTGCGGCGTTCGCGTTTTCCTCCATTATCGAAAAGCTGTTTCTTTTCTTTTTTAATACTGTAGTTTTTCTTTTATAATGATAGAATGCTTTGTAAAAGGACAAAGTGATAATTTACCTAGAATTCATCTCACCTATCACTATTTCAAATAAAGAATTAGGTACTACAAATTTGTGACTTGTGAAAAATTCAATTCCTAAATTGTAATTATTTAATTTAGCTATATATATTTACTAAGTATACTTAACTAGCTTTTGCCCGCGGCTTTGCTCGCGCGTAATAAATGATCGCGTAAATGAAAGTCTGTAATTTTTTTAAGTAAAAAGCATGTAATTTCATTCTGATTACAAAAATGTATATTACGCCTTTTTTATTTTTCTTTGCACGCTTTTATATATTTATACAGTGTCATCTTCGTTAGTCCACTGAAGAAATGCGTTTTATTTTATATTAATTCAAACGCTGCAATACGTATTTATTCATTTCTAACCACAAACTTTTATGTGAAATCTCATGCTTCTAATTTTGAAAATGACAGATTTCCAAACGACCATTCCTCCCTTATTTCCCCTTTGAAGGTAAAATTTGCAAATTTCCTTAGTGGATGTAATCACTTCTTTAAATAAACAAAACATGACACTAGCTAATACGTACTAAGCGAATCTAAGCCACGTGGAATAGGTGGAGTGACGTCACGCGCTAGCCACAACACGGAACGAAATTATTTTCCCAAGCGCATCTTCCAAGTTCTGTAACTTTTACGTTACGACAGAAAGATTTTTATTTGAATAAACTTCAATTCAAGTATTTTTAATAAGTCATTTTGTCTGATCCTACCGCTCATTTAAAACTGAGCCAAGAAGAACGGACAAGAAATTCGGCTGTTGCTTTTTTATAAATGAATGAATTAAAGCTATTACAGAATACACTGTCTTGCTCATGGATGCCCTAGTGTTTCACGAGCTTCGTTGCCATTCCCGAAAGCTATGGTTTATTACCTCCGTTAATTCCATATCTCACACTTAAAATACAATCATGCAAACATATTTCTCAGCAGAAACGCGACTGGGACAGACATAGTTGACTTTAGATATTTTTGTATTTTTACAAGCTGTATCCCGCGGACTCGCCCGCGTACATACAGTACATACAGTATCCTATGAGCTAACTAAGGATATAACCTACCGGTAAACCAAATTCCATTCAAATCCGTTTAATAGTTTTTGCGTGAAAGAGTAACAAACATCCATCCATTATTATAAGTATTATTCGCATTTATAAAATTATAAATATTAAAGTGACTTTTTTTTATACAACTTAGAATGGCAAACAGGCTGACGGCCCACCTGATGGAAAGTGGTGACCGTCCCCTGTAGACATGAGCAGTACCATGGACATAACAGAGTATACTGTTTCGCCCATGATACCCCCCATGCGTTGCTATTCCTGAGGACTCAAATGTTATTCCTCTGTACCCTGTAAACTCACGCCATATCCCACCCTTCAAACCGATACACAGCCATGCAAACAACTGCTTCACGGTAGAAACACGAATGGGACAGAGGTACCCAAGCAATCGACTTTTGTAAAATGTTTCATTTAATATTTTATAAAAAAAAAAGATTGACCTCGCAAACGTTGTTTTGACGCAAAATTTCATTAAACTCGGTTGCATAATTTCGGAGATAAGCCTGAACGAACATCGTGACACGGGATTTTTATATATTAAGATATGCTGAACGCAGGAGCAAGAGCACCCTCGCGCCATTTACGCGATCAGCATGCACTGGTTCAGGCAGTGGCAGGCGTTCGTGAGGAACAAGACGCAGCAGCCACCGCCGCCGGTTGACAACAGCGGCATTGTCACAAAACAAGTACGTCACCTACCTTACCGTGTGGTCCCGGCATAGAATACGCCACCCCTTCCTTTCACCTGGGTGCCGTAAGAGGCGACTGAGGGATGGGCAACAGCGTTCCTCTTAAAACATCTCTAAAGCTTAACTGCGGTTGTCAACCTGCCTGCCAAACGTGGCAACTATTGACAAAACCCACCAAGTGGGAGGCTTATGTTCAGTAGTGGACAGTTAAAAGCTGATATGATGATGATAATGATGATGAAGTATGTTACGGATATTTTTTTTCAACCGACTTTAAAAGAAAGATGTTCTCAATTTCTGTTGTATTTTTGTTTGTCACCTCATAACTGCGGCAGTTGTAAACCGATTTAGGTTATTTTTTTTTTAGTTGACAGAATATGCTAATAAATTGGTACCATAGTAATTTTATCAAAATCGATTTAGTATTTATGTTTTAAAATAACTGCTTGCTACAATTGAAGTTGTTTTGTTTTTCGACGAACACAATTTGATGTTTTTTTTTTTATACAACTTAGAATGGCAAGCAAGCTGACGGCCCACCTGATGGAAAGTGGTAACCGTTGCCTATAGATAATTATATTACTGGCGAGTTGTGGACATAATTTGGAAATTACGAATAAATATGTATAATATCGACACCGCTCTGATATCTATATATTAAGTTTCTTTAGATATTGATGACGGAAAAGTCATCACCCATTTCGAAATCTATATTCATTTCGATCGGGTTCTGATACTTATTTGATTTATATATTTTAAATATCCTGTATTTAATATATCTGTTATTGACCAAATATATAGATATAATATCTACTATATCAAGATATTGCTATATATAATCAACCTCTAGTCAGATGTTAATAAAATCCGAGGCCCGATTATAAGAGATTCATGATAAAACTTATTTCTGAAGTATTCGAACCAAACTTCAATGCATACGAAAGAAACACGCATTCGAACGTTTTCAAATACTGATGAATATTAAAATGTAGTAATAATATGAAATCGAAATACTGCATGTTACTTCATTCAGCAAATCCAGTTTTTTATGGCAATATCTAATAATACGTTTGTTAAGTTTTTTTTTTTATTTAATGCCACGAAGGTGGCAAACGAGCAACCCGTTTGATGGTAATCGGTCACTGTAGCATATGGACGCTTGCAACACTAGGAGTGTCACGTGCGCGTTGCCAACCTTGAAGAAACTTTATTTATACCCTTTTGAAGAAGCCCGTTCTGTCGTCTTTAAGAAAAAAAAAATTAAAAAAGTTTTTTGTTTCGTCTGCTAAATATCTACTATTTATCTCGAATGAATAGTATCAAATTTCATGATGTTCAGTCGAGCCGTTAATAAGGGATATATATTATTTATTGCACTTGTAAAAAAAGATATTTATAGATTGGTTTAACGATTCGTTACCAATGGTGGTCTTATCTCTGAAAGAGATCTTTTCCAGCCAACCTAACAGATGAGAAAGAAAATAATTAACAGTAATCTAGTACAGGAAAAGTAGTTCTTTGTGAAGTAAGAAGAATAGGAGAAGAGATTAGAGAATACGAAAAATACATTTTCTATTTTTATGGTAAACAAAAAGGTATATACGGAATGGGATTCCTAGTAAATAAATACTTAAAAGATAAAATAATAAGTTTCCAAGGAATATCAGATAGAATTGCCTTACTCAATATATATCTAACAGAATCTAAACAACATTGGTCGATTATTCAAGTACATGCACCAGGAGAGAAAGATACAAAAATTGCGAAGGATAAATTTTACAGGGATATGACTGACTTGATGCAAAACAAGAAAAAGAACATAATCATCATGGGAGATTTCAATGCTAAAGTTGGTAGCAAATCAAACAAAGATGAATTTGTTTTAGGAGATTACAGCAGTGGCGACAGAAACGATAATGGACAAAGACTCGTAGACTTTTCTTTTGCTCACAATCTTAAAATAATGAACAGTTTCTTTAAAAAACGTAAATCTAGAAAGTGGACATGGCTAGCACCAAACGGCAGAGATAAAAATGAAATTGACTTCATACTTACAAATGAAAAACATATATTTGAAAATATTGAAGTACTAAATAAACTAAATTTTAATACGGATCATAGAATGGTAAGAGGAGTTATAAAATGCATAAATAACAAATCAAGAAAATATATTATAAACCATGAATAGGACAAGAACATCGCCAATACCACCAAACGTTTTATTTGATTTACAGAATACATTAAAGAAAGCCAAAGAGGAAACAAAAACATTACAAGAAAAGTATAATTTTTTGGAAAGGGAATTGCTAAACATAAATAAATTGAGTACTAAAACAGAGAAAATAAATAAGTTAGGAGAAGAAACGTTACAATTAATGAAAGAGAGAAATAAAATGTTACACCGACGAAAAGATAACAAACAAAATATCGCAACTATTAGTAAAAAAATTCAAGAATCGATACGAAAACATAGAAAAGCTGAAAGAATCAATGTATTAAATGAACAAATAGAAAAGACAGGCGGAATTAGGAAAGGTCTAAAACCGCTAAAAGAATATACCCAATGGATACCCAACATGAAAACTAAAAATAAGAAGAAAAACGAGAAACTGACGACAAAGAGATTATCCATAGCAAAAGCAGTGACAGAATTCTATAAGGAATTATACACAGATCCAGACAGAACAAAGCTAACAGAAGAAGAGAAAGAAATTTGCATAGAAGAAATACCTTGTATATTGGAATCAGAAGTTATAAAGGCTATAAAATCACAAACAAGTGGGAAAGCTCCTGGAGATGATAAAATATCTAATGAAGTATTAAAACAGACTCTACCTGCGATATCCAAGTATGTGACCCATTTATTTAATGAAGTAATAGTATCTGAAAAAATACCCACTCAATGGACGAAATCAACCATTATCCTATTACATAAAAAGGGAGACAAAAATGAAATAAATAATTACAGACCGATAAGCCTTATGTCCAATTTGTACAAAGCGTTTTCTAAAATCATACTCGGGCGAATATCAAAACACCTTGAAGAAAACCAACCGAGAGAACAAGCGGGATTTCGCGCCGATTATTCTACTATCGACCATATCCATGTAGTGAAGCAAGTTATCGAAAAACTAAACGAATACGGACAACTGTATTATATGGCATTCGTCGATTATAATAAGGCTTTTGATTCACTGAGTCATACCTACATTTGGAAAACACTAGAAAATCAAGGCGTAGAAAGTAAATACATAAGAATTATAAAAGAGATATACAGAAACATTACAGCAACAGTCCAACTTGAACAACAAGGTGAAGAGTTTAGAGTTCAAAAAGGAGTAAGGCAAGGCGATCCACTTTCTCCAAAACTTTTTATAGCCGTACTAGAAGATGTATTTAGGAATTTAGACTGGGAACATTTTGGAATTAATATTAATGGAGAAAACCTAAATAACTTAAGATTTGCCGATGATATTGTGATTTTTGCAACGAAACCAGGGATACTACAGAATATGCTCCAACAATTAGATTTAGAAAGCAAGAAAGCAGGTTTATCTATGAATCCAACGAAAACTAAAGTAATGACGAATACTGAAAGGGTCAATATAAGAATAGGACAAGAAGTCATAGAATATGTAGATGAATATATATATTTGGGGCAACTAATTTCGATAAAAGACCAGTATTCTAAAGAAATAGATAGAAGAATAAGTAACACTTGGAAACGGTACTGGTCTTTAAACGAAATAGTTAAAAATGAAGAAATTCCTATGGCAATAAAAAGCAAACTATATAACACATGTATTCTACCATGTCTTACATATGGATGTCAAACTTGGCCTGCTAAGAACAAAGATAACCAAAAACTTGTAGTTTGTCAACGCAACATGGAACGAAGTATGTTAAACATCAGACTAAGAGATCGATGGACAACTTCAAAAATAAGAAAAAGAACAAAGATCAATGACGTGTTACAAAAAATAAGAAAACTTAAATGGAATTGGACTGGACATATAATGAGAACCAACAAAGAAAAATGGACGAAGGATATAATAGAATGGTATCCTAGAAATGGGAAAAGACAACGAGGAGGACAAATCAAAAGATGGGAGGACGATTTACCTAAAGGATGGAGAAAGTCAGCTAGGGATAGGGGAAAGTGGAAACAGTTGGGGGAGGCCTATGTCGACAGACAACCTGACTAACATAATGGTTGCTAGAAAGCTACCTTAGTAATAAGTAGTATATAAGTTAAAGTAAAAATGTCAGAGAATAAAGGCTTTATTATATTATATTATTATTATATTATAGTACAGGAAAGTTGTGTAAGAAATAGGACAAAAAAGAACTAAACACAACCACAAAGTAAATAGAATATTAATAAAATAAACATACACAAAATTAGGATTTTTACGTTTTTTCGAGCAATGGTCCAGGCGTTCTCGAGTTTTGTTTTTAATGACACATTTAGTTTAAATTACAAAAAAATAATCTTCTTTAAAATTTGATTCTTCTTCAAAATTGTTGCCTAAAACTTTATACAGATCGTGTAAAGCACAAAATTACATAATGTTTTTTATTACTTCCAGGAAATCGACGGTATCACAACGTATATACTCAAACAGGGGTCAGACCACGCACAGCTGAGCGAGGAACTATGGAGGTTCTTTACTGACATATACGGGGGAGGACCTGAGGTGAAACTCAAGTGTCCCACCACCACCATCCAGTCCATCGCCAACGACAGAGATCCCAAACTCTTCGAGAACCGCCGCCTCTCCAGGAAATATTCTGAGTCTGACAAAGAGGAATACTGCGTCAAGTCCACCTCAGAAATGAATATAAGAGACACAATACATGGGGAACTTCAAAAGAATCAATCATTACAAAACATCAATAGACGATACAAAGTTAACAGAACAATGGCCGATTCAGACGAAGATGTTAATTACAGGCACACGTTTCAGTATAAGAGACACGAGCCGAACGGCAATTATCAAGATTCTGATGAGGATATGGATTCAAGCCCCCCACAGTACGGCAACACCGTGCGAATGGAGAACGGAGTGGACAGTTCCGATCACGATGCAAACGATAATCCAGTGTATAATAGCAAATGGCAAAACGAAAAAGATACAGACCTGCCAAACTTAGACAGTATATCCTTAAAAAGTAAACCAAAGGCAGGCAAAGTGAGAAAAATGAAAAGACGAACGGTGAAATGATTTTTTCTAGCCTTCCAGTTCGTTCACAGGTTGAGGCAGAAGGTAGCTTCGGGCCACGACTACGTCTAAACATTCCTACGGTGACTGGTGTTCGCATACTGTGCATTTATTAGGCTCGAATAAACTCTGGGACCCTGGTCTCTACGAAGCGATATTTTTCTAAATTATATTTAAAATCTGCGGCCTCCGAGCCCCGCAATGGAAGGGTGTTAGTATTTTTTAGTACAATTTACATTTAGTTCAAATTCTGACCTAGAGAATATAGATACTTGAATGTTATTCACTATATTCAAACTGTATAATTACAATACATAATGTTAATCTTTGTAAAATTATGAAGTTACGGTAACACATGTGTATAGATATATCATGTTAATAGGTAGTCAACTCCCCGACTGCATTTCTTACGTTTCCCTGTTTTACCAAGTGGATTAGGTATTTATTTTGTTATTTCTGGTTCTAAGTCTATATGTTATTTGTTAATTAATTGATCAGCAATAAAATTTATTTCATATATATTGGCTGCACTCAAGCGTTTAATTTCATTTGATATCCATTTCAATCAATTTCTTGTTATGTCATTAAATTTCTTAGTAAAGTTGTATAAAGAACTTTACTAAGAAAATTAATAAACTATATAAAAAGTTTATAATAAATCTGAATATTACATACAGACCATAGAGCACAACTTTTTTTTATTATACTGAGTAATCAAACTTTTTTTTTATTTAGCAAATACTTAATCTCTCTAATAGATTAATAATTTTAAATATTGTATATATACGGAAATGAATACTAAATTTAGATGGGGTAGTCATGAGCAGACCTTGCTGTTATGGTGCTACCATTAATACGCACATATTTCATTCTGTATATTTGAAACTGTAAGGAAGCAAATCTACCACCGGAGACCCAGGTGGGTTGTTTTTTTTTAATGAGTTATAATGTAATGGTAACACTGCCTGCGCTATCGGTGTACGCTGGCGGCGACCAGTGAATGATGATAGGTGACGATGAAAGCAGGTCAGTTAACTCCTCATGACGAATTTCACTAAAATTAACTACGATGGTTTCCAGGGGGAATTATGTCTAATATATATGCTAGCAAATATATTAGACACATTTTTTTATTTGTATGAGATTCGAAATCACAACCTTTATAATCTTACGTGTTGAGGTGGTATAACTATAGAACACCATAGTTCATAGCTAATTGGCTACCTCATAATTTTGCTATTTCCTTATTAACCTAACAAGCATATTAAACCATAGATTAACGTTAAACTAACCCTGATTAATTTTAACGGCTGAACCCATTTTAATGGAATAAAACCTGAGGAAGGACATAGGTTCTTATTTAAACCTAGTGTGTAAAAGGTCGAAGTTGTTGATAAAATTAATAAAATAAGAGATGTTCAAAATATTTATTACAATGAAGATACGATACGATATTACATCTTTTTATTATCGACCAGGTACAATGTTTATCATTTTTTTATACTGGCTATATTCTGCGAGGGTACACTCGGTAGGTAAATCAGTACTATATCAACACTACCGTATAATTGCGGACGGTTAAAATCGGAAATAATAGGTTTTATTAAAAAAAAAAGTGGAATAAAAATTAAAAATTCTTTTTCACATCAATTATTATACATAGTTATAACAATAATACAACTGGCTTAATAATTTAAAAATATCTTCTATTCTCTAGCCGCCAATTAATTACCTTAATAGATAAAGAACACATTTGGAGCTACACTTACATCATATTTCTTTATCATGATCACTATTTATGAACAATTAATAAAACCCTATTTCCAACTCTAACATGATAATCAGAAAATACATTTTTCAACATCCAATATATAAAATGCCATATTACTTGAAAAAGCGTAACAAAAATAGATTTCTATTAAAATTTTATAGTTTTCTAAAAATATTATTTATTTCAAACAATCTAATTTTTTTATTTTTATTTTATTAAGGCCACTATGTTATATAATGTATAATATATACCAAAATTACGTATTACTATTGATCTGTGTCACATTTTATTACGAGCAAAGGAATTATTATATTGTAAAATTTGATATTAAGAAATATCTATTATTATAAATTGTATATAAACATTTACAATATTATATATACATATAAAATATTCCTTAAAATAACATTTGTATCTTTTTTTAATTTTATGATTCATATCAGGTTTTGACCATTTTTATTATTTAATAAATGTGTTACATCAGTAAATATGTATGCTATTTTAATTATCCTTCAATATTACTAATTGTATTTGATTTAACAAAAATGAATACGGTAACTACAATAATTCCTTACTCGTAATATTTCGTTGCAATTATCAAATCTATACAAAAATATTCGAAATTCAAATTTGTAAGCATAAAAAGTATTTGGTATTATACAACATACCTATTGCTATTATAAAAAAATGCGATGAGTCAAACTCATTACCTGGTAAAAAAAAATACTATAAAAAACTGGGGAGTGACAATAACATACAGTGAAAATATTAATAATAAGTATATATATTTTACTATTATGCGCAAACATCCCCAGTTACTTAAATAAAAAATAAACAAAAGAAAATGTGAACACTTTCAGTGCTACAAAACAATATAATTATTTTATCGTCATTTGACATCTGTTAACTACATTGTTAAATAAATAATACATAATGTAATGAACCACCATTATGATATAATCAAGAAACATTCAAAACGTAACAAAATCGGGCGCCAATGCTAGTCTTTGATATGTTAAACATTAAAGTATTATATATTATTTTTTAATCTAAATATCTATAAAAAATTTATTGCATATGTCGTTGTATATTCTGTTCCAATACTAACGAGGAAATCTATAATATATATGTATGTATGTATATATATATATATATTATATCTGTTAGATTTGTACTTTTGTAATGCTTGCTCCTTACAAGAATACTAATATATTGTATAACACATTATATCAGATTGGTAAGTAAATATCACTCAGTTTAACTGCTTATTTGAGAATATATTCTGTACTGCTATTGTATATGACTAGGGATTCAAAGGAATAGACTGAAATGAAAATATATCTATTCGTTACTATAAAATGCAAAATATTTCCAGTGTACCGATGTCCTACTCTAAATTTCCGCACAAGTTCGACGTGGTACGTCTAAAAACATTTTGCAGAAATCTTTTATGATAATTGTTCTCAGAAAATATGTATAAATGTTAAAAATATGTGTGTATCAAACGTTCTCTTATTACTTAAGTGTGCGATAGAAAGTACCTAAATTTATAAACTACAAATTTTTAATATTTTCATTTTAAAAATAAATTGACGACTTTTTAAAACCCAGATCTTTCTGTATTACTCATTTCAAAACTTATGCCATCTTGAGTGGTGAATCTAAATATTCAAAAATGAAGCGAATTCATACATATTTATGTTTATATATCAATAAAGATTTCTAATCACATCAGCACAATCAAGCCGGGGATTCGAACCCCATTCGTATCTAACGTCTGGCCACATCGGCATCACTCTTCTCAAATAGAAAAAGTACCTAACACTCTCACTAACCTAATAAAGTAATTAAATTTCTAGATGTAAGAATAAGTTGCAATTGAGGTAGATTAAATTTTTTATAGTCCTATTAGCCTAAAAAGATTAGAATTATTTACATAACAAGCGTTTGCAACATTGGATCTCTACGCACAGTCCTCGCCAATTGTCATTACTAGACGCCAAACATTGACCTTAAATTAAATGTATTACATATTATCATTCGTTACCAATAATTAAAACTTATATTACATAAGTAAACAAAGCAGTGTCAGGCTTAAGACTGCTCTAGTTGTATGGAACACTTCCGAGATTTATAATAAGTAGGTATAACTATAGCCAGCTAACTTCTAGCGCGGTATTCCATACCAAGGCAAGGCATAACGACTGCTAGAGTACAGACATATACAAGGGTGAAACCAGCCGAGACTTAAAATAGGTAGGTATCTATAGCTTGTTAACTTCTAGCGCGGTATTCTATAGTAAGGTAAGGTATATATAAGGAAAACTTAATAGCCGAGGTTCCTTTTAAAACATCAAAGATGCGCCGGTCAACCCGCCTGCCAAGCGTGGCTACTGGCTACCAAAATAAAAGGTTTATGTTCAGCAATGGATAATTAGCGGCTGATATGGTAAGGAAAGAGTATACATACGTCTGTCACCCAGCAGAAGTGGCGTGTTTATAGTTAACTGACTAAAACTGCATTCACTTCAACCTTCAATGGTTAGTACGTGTATCGTTTAGGTCAATAATTTGTATCGAAAACTCTGTTGCACAACTAATGTACAGTTTCAGAAACTCAGATTTATATACAAACTTATCGACGTAAACTTGAACACAATCTCAACACACTCTTTGTACAACTTACACTAGCCACTCTATATATTGTCCGAGTGAATCTTCGATTTCTGTAATGTACAGATATATTCGTAGATATATCTGCGGGTCTACCATAAAATGAAATTCCGAAATTTCGGACCCAATTTCGTGTTTTTGTTTATACCAAAATCGGACCAATAAATGGAGTTTAACATTTCGTTCGTCATACACCCTATTATAAAAGTCCAAAGGAACAATATTTTAACATTTTTAATATTTCCAAACGGCATGTAATTTTAACATCAAATTTGTGTTTCGTTTGGCTCCGAAATTTCGGAAAACATTTCATGGTAGGCCCTCTGTACATTACAGAAACCGAAGATATATAGTAGTACAGAGAGTGTTCGTTTTACAACAATGTAATGTCTCAGAACTACTAAACCGAATTGAAAAAAAAAAATGATAATATTTGTTTTATGTGTATACCTAGATGTGTGATAGTGAGATGTGAAGATGTGTGTATACATAGATTTATGTGTAGACATAAAACCCATAAGAACTTTAAAATAACTTATAAATTTTCAGGTGGTGCCTAATTATAAACTTTCCGGTAAAACTTACATACTTAATTATTATTTGAATTAGTTAAGTATTTGAAAAAGCAAATATTTAAGATCGAAATTCAGAATTAATAATAAATATTTAAAATCTCGGTAGCGTTCCAATAAAATTAAACTGGCAGACTATAGCAAATTAAATGTAACTGATCGTAAACTATAGCATAGATAATACTCACGATAAGCACTAACAAACTATCGTAACACATAAGTACAATATTCTGAGAGTATAACATTTTATAATCAAAATCCATAAGTGCTTTTAAACAACTTCAAAAGTAGGGTTTTTTTTTCAACCGTACTTTTTTGTGCACACTATCTCTATCCTAAAAACCGATTTTGATAATTCATTAGAATTGATAAAGTTTGCTTCTGTAATGGTCCCATAATTTTGTCACTACTAAATTTGCTATTTTTATTGATAACTAGCAATCCATAATTGATGTACTAACACAATTGAAACGACAATAAAACAGGAATACAAGTGCGAAATAGTAAAACTGGTAACGGGATTCGATAACAAAATAGTCGGTTGATCTATCAGTGAGCCTCAACTACACAAGTGCCACACATTCACACCAACTGCATGGTCTTCAAACTAGGACAGTTCACAAATCTATAAAAAAGAAAAAAAAATCTATGGGCACAGCCCAAAAACGCCAGCCCCTTTAGACAAATTGCATACGAATCTATAATTGATAATATCGTCATCGCTAGCGAGTCTATGAAATAGATTGAGATAGCGACATGCGCAGTCTTGTTCCTTCTCATATGAGCGCTGAGCGTAACGATTCTATCGATAAATAGAATCTCTTGTATGTATGTTGTCTAGGGGAGCAGTTTAAGAAATAATAAATTCAAGCTGATTTACGCGAAAATAAAGTGCCTAGCAATATTGAGCCTAATTTGAGGCCAAAATTTAACACTATTAACTAGCAGTTACAAATCTATATTGTTGATAACCCCTGTTTTACCCTAACAGCACCAATTTTTATGGCGCCATAGTACCCTTTATATACTTACATATAATTTACACAACTCATGCATCTTTTCTTTGGTCTGGTCTTCCTCTCCACTTAGAGCTATTCACTTTCACATTCAAAGCTCTCTATAAATAATGATCCATCCATTCAAATTATACGAATGTTCCAAAAAAATTATCTAGTATTAGGGACTTTTCTTTCAAACTATCTTTCATATCGGCATTCATTTTAATAGTTATAAACCAAAACAAAAATTATATATTGTATTCCTTTGTTAGTATTACAGACATTGGCTTTAAAGCTACGCAAAGAAGAATACCAACACTTGTATAGTATGTACTTAATTTACCCTTAGAATTTACCCCGATATATTGTCTGTAAATTCTAATTTCAATTTGACAGGAAAAAAATTATATAATTTTAATTTAAAAAATGCGCCTTCTTATCGTGATTAGTGACTATGCTAGAGTTTACACAAATCAGTTATTTATCAGTTTCTAGAAATGCAAGGCACCTAATAAATCCAGCTGTCCTACCTTTCCATTTCACTCCAAGTTGTTTAAATTCTCACTATATTTTATCAATCATCTGACACTTACACCAAGTTTCCACACTAACAAATAACATAATTTGGCTCGTAATCTTAAAAATAAGCCAAGACACTTAGTATGAATTTCGGACTTTTTTCCCCCTATAAAAATATAGTTTTCGGTTGTTCAAAATCGGCAAACATTTGAATTTTGTCGCTGACGGATCGTCAAATAAACACTCATAAATTCTGCTCAATTATGTTTCGTATGCGTCTAATGAGCAAAAGAATTCTACACTCTATTAATTGGAAGCATTCTAAAGTTTTCTAGTCCATGATCTCATATTTGGCACATTTAGTTGAAAACACAATGCGATTTATAAGATATCTGCAGTTTATCTAGTGATTTGCTCATCAGACAGACCCAATTAGTTCTCTTATTATTCTAAGGAGACACAAGTGTCTCTGAGGTATATTGCATTTAGTTTCTAGCTCATACCTGCCGGGTTCCTAGGACTTGAATAGCATTCTGTACAATAGAATGATATTTAATCCCATACCTCCAACAGTCATTGTTATTACACTTACATACATATAGATGAAATACATTCTAGCTTTAAACAGATCTGATGTCATTATTCTAGCAGAATTCGGAATCTACATTATTGACAGACAAGGGATATGCTCTGTTGTATCATAACTTCGCGTCAAAAGCAGCACGCCTCTCTGAAACATATTGTAATAGCCTACTGCTTTCAAGAGCCATCCATACCTTCAAACTAAATTCTGCTCGCCATCACCATTACCCATAGAAAACATGTTCAATATGTGAATGATCGCATAATGAACTTAGCACAGAGTTGGTCCCTTATAAACTCCACTGATCACACAAGGTATGTTATAAATAAACAATTTACAAATTCCGAAAGTACATACACGACTAGATCACATATTCATGTAGAATTCGGAAATATTTTGGTATACCTGAAACACAAATATACAATTTGGCAATTCAACTGGAGGGCACACACCCCCTAGCTTTCATACATCTTACATGTTATCAAGTCCATTATTACAATTGCATTACATTGCTCTCCCGACTATTTACAGCTTACCCCTACCTTACCTAATGAGGTAATCCGGTTTCACATAAGCTAAATGCATGAAGGTATCTCGCTATGCAGCGAGGCTAGTGGGGCGGTGGCGGCGGCGGCGGCTTCGGGCTCTGCGCCGTTTGAAAGGCCTGTGTGAACGCCGGCAATCGTTGTTGCCGACCCTCTTCACCCATATAGGTAGGTGTAGATGTAGGTTCACTTTCTTCTAAAAGTCCTAACATCTCACTGGACAGGCCTGATGGTCCCTCCCCTGGATCCATCAACAGAGACTGAACATTTGCAGGATCTAATAAGTGGGCTTGCGTCATGGGCTCCTGTAGAGGTTGTGTTGTCATGTACGGCAAGGTAGATGGCGTCTGTGAGTATGGTGAAGGTACCATGAACATGACAGGATAGTCGCTAGGCAGCAATTCACAACTTGGTGATGCTGGCTCTTCTAGCTTTATATCTAATGGATCCTCCAATTTAATTTCTAAAGGTTCCGATTTAATTTCAAGCTCAGGTGGTATTTCTACAATGATTTCAGATGAAGGCACTCTGGTTTGACCTTCTGGCACACTCTCTTTAGGTGAAGGTGGTTTCCATATAGAAAAATCACTCCCCTCTATCTGAAACTCAGGATATGTTTCTTCAAAAGAGGTTGAGGCTTCTGGTGTTGGTTCACTGGATGTGCCAACCGCTGCTGACCTCCATGATTCCTCAGGGTGAGCATTTTTGACATGCCTTACTAAGTGGTCCTTACGTCCAAACTTTTGTGGGCAGTGAGGGCATAAAAAATCTCGCCTACCTGTGTGCACAACAAGATGCCGCCTCACATCTTTCGCTGTGAAAAACCTCCTGTCACAGTGATCACAAGTAAACTTCTTATCAGTCTCATTCTTTACAGTTCGGCTCCCTGTGTGGACTTTTAGGTGGTAAACTATTTCTTGCCGAGTACTAAATACCTCATCACATATTTTACACTGTAAATTCCCTTCTTCTGCAGAATGTAGAGCTGCATGTTTGCGATAACTCAATGAAGATGTATATGATTTCCTACAATCTTGCCTCTCACATGTATACAGTCTTTTAGTTGGATTATGCACTCTTTCATGATTCGTGAGATGATCTTTGCGATTGAAAGTTTTACCACAAGTGTTGCATGCAAAGGCTCGAGCCTCACTGTGAATTAGGTTATGACGCACCAGCTTAAATTTAGAATTGAACCGTTTATCACAAAGGTTGCATGAAAAAGGAAGCTCACCTGTATGGGAGAGGACATGCTGACTAAGTTTTCCAGGGCTAGAGAAGCGCTTATCACAAGTAGTGCACACATGTCGCTTGCTGCGGTCGCGACGTGTGCGCCGTTCAGGCTCCGAGGCAGCTGGGCCGGCAGCCGACGTGCCGGCGACAGCCGCCTCGCCCTCGCGTATCCGCCGAGGCAGTGTGGGTACGCGTCGCGCTGCCTTCACTGTTCTAAAGCATTGCTTGATGCTGCCACTGGGCCCTGGCGCACCAAGAGCCACATACTGCAACTTAGTGGGCAGCTGTGACGCGGGCGGCGCTATGAACGTCTTCTGCGGGGTGGTCGCGCGTTCCCCGCTCGACTCCTCCGTGAACTCGGAGCCGCCCTCCTCGCCTTCTCTAGGGTTCGGTGGCGGGCTGGCCATCTCGCGCTCATTTTTAACGCGCTTTCCCTATAACTCTTCTCGTTTATGACGCGTCGGGGTCGTTTCGGGTCCGCGGTAGCACTGGCTCGTCGTGATGGCAGAAAACATTTCTGTCACATTGACGGTCTGGTAGCCCTTTCGTATTCGTGTCACATGGTTCTTGCGGAATTTCTGGACCTTCTTGTCTTATAACACACACGGATGAAGCAGTTACGTCTCTATACACTTCTGGTCAAAAGAAGAAAGTCGAGAAAGAATGAAAAACGATGAATAATCGACTTTTTTCAAAGAAATACGTAGCGATTGACATGAATTTCAAATGTCAAAATAAATGAAGCCAAAGTAGAGTCAAAGCCAACCAAAAGCCACTCGGAGATGTCAAAAAAGTTCGCCGATTATAGAGTCGACGATTTCGAAAAGTCGCGTTCAAATTTAATGTTTTATTCATCACGTTCTAAACTCATTAAAATTGATTGGTATTTAGTAGTAAGTGTAAAAAGATTAATTCATTTTTATGCCAAACATTTGGAGTGCAAATGTGGCAAAAACAAAAATAAAGAGGACGAAATACTGGACGTGAAAAATTACATGACAATATATTAAATACAGTACTCTTTTTATTTTAAATTAGATCAGTTTGTGCAGAATTTTTATTTATTTGGATGTACATGTTTAAAACGATACGTATATAGAAAGTCACATCCATGACTAAACCAGAACATTAATACTTAACCGTTCAATGAGTAATAGCAGTCTCAACAATTATTGTTTAAGAAACCCGTAGATTGTCAATTACTTAGACACTAATGATTAAAAACCTATGTTAACTATCTGTATTTTTTGTATTACAAAAATGTATATGTGTGTTTCTAATTGATTTAATTAAAGCACTGAATAAATAATGGATAACGATATAATAATATCTTTTATAATGCGTTGAAATTGTAATTTCTTCTTCTTAGTAAAAATCTTAATTGACAGTCAAGCAGTCTTATAAGGTGTCAGTTATTTGTCATAATTTTTAATCTGTGCTATTATTTCAGTAACCTCATGATATTATTAAAATTTATATTTATATTATAAAAAACAAAAAGATCTTTACAATTTTAGAAATTTAGCTTGTTTTAATTCTTGTCTTCTTAATTTACCAAGGTAGATATAATTCCTATTGTTGTAATTTTTTTCTATCTTGCTATATAATTGCATTAATCATTGACGTTTTTTTTTTCTTGTGTTCTATTTATGTCGATTATTGTCTTAATACTTCTCATAGTTAAGTAGTTTTAATTGTTATTATGTATTGAATTTATAATTAAATATTTAAAAGAAATTAATTGTTAAGAATACATAAACTCCTGTTATGCGAAGCGGTCGGCGCATTCGTAACTAGATAACATTTATTACCTGTAGATAAAAGTGACTTCGAAAATTACATACCTGCAGTTAGAAATAGCCTGTAGCGTTTTTTAACGTTATTTCTTGCATTGAAAATTATCTTACATTCAAAATAATTCACAGTACTATTTCAAATCACTTCAAGAAGTGATTTTTCAATTCATTGCTTTTTGTATGTTGCATTATATCTTCAAGAATTCTAAATCAATTTTCATTTCTTTTTGCAATTGATTAGGTTTAATCCAGTCTTGCTACCATACAAATTTTTTGAAAAGACTAACATTTTTATATTATGATATCTTAATAATATTGATTACCCGTAATAAATATTTAAGTTAGTGTCAGTTGTCTGAATAAACTTGTCAGGTTTGCCTGGTTTTTGTTAGTTTTTTTTATCTTTATACACTTTAGTAACCTTTTACGTTCAGATAAACTATATATTTGTTTGCCACTTCAGTAGTTTAAGAAAACATCTTTATTTTTTTGCAACATGAAATACCAAAGAAATTGTTGATTCACTTGATGAGAAGTGGTATCTTTCACCTGTAGTTGCTATATTAATTAATAAAATATAAAGTAATAATAAATGCAATTGAATATTTTAATAATATTAAAAATCTTATTAAAATATTAAAATTATATTCCAATAATCAACTGACAAAAGCATTTCATTAGTATTGCAAAAAGGATGCAAATACAAATGCTGCCTGTTTTAAAAATTTTCAATCTATAATTATTGGAATATCATAATAATAATTAGAATATCATACAATATAAGCTAATAAATAAATACAATACTATAAGAATGATGTAAGTATATTATCATTGTTATTCCAGATAAAACATGTCAGAACAAATTGTTGGATCAGCGGGCTCTGCCCCCTCTGCTACTAGCGTCGCTGAAGAGCAACGCTCTGGGAGTATTGCTGCTTCTGGTATGTAACAATAATTTCAAATGTATTAACTAACTCGATAGATATGGTCTTGCCCAAACATTGGTTTTTCTTTTGAGTGGCTTATTTGATTTTTTTCAATTTATATTGAAAAAATATATTTTTATTAAAGATAAAAATCCTAGAACCCTAACACATCGCTCGCAGAGTACATTCATTGTCATATTTAAAATTAATTTTCAGGAGAAGCCTGACCCCTTATTGCTTAAATACATACTTTCCAACAAATCTTTGTGAAGCTTCTCTTTGATCCCGGGATGAGTACAGCTAACTTGGAGTCCTCTTAAATGCACCTATGGGTACAGTTGTGAATCTAAACCATTCAGGGACCCATTCAAATATATACAAAGCTTATTGAAATTTAACAGATAAGAATAAAAGAACAAGTAATACATTATAATTGTAACTGGACAATATTTGTACACAGAATTTATTAAAAAAAAAAACATATATGAATTGTAAGCTAAAACAATTTTTAGAATTTTTTATTGTCTGTCTGTATCTTTTTTTTTTTTTTGTACCATACTGAATACAGTTCTCACAGTTGTGTTCTTGAAAGTCGAATTTAAAATATGGCATATGTTTTATCAAGATATGCTACCTAGAAGCAGTTACATAATTCACTCTACATAGTTGTGAACAATTAGTGCTAGCTTATATAGAAATATAATTTATTAATCTACTATCAAATGAGATTATAGTGAAATATATTATTTGTGATAACTATTATATGTGATTAATTTATTTTAAAAGAATAGCTGCTGAGTCTTGTATAGGTTCTCTTATCAGATAATAGTATTCTAAACCTGGTAGTAAGTCATAAAAAATTAACAATTTAAACATACGATATTTATATGGTTACTAGTTTATACCCACGACTTTAATCCCATGACTAGGATATGTTTACAGTGTGGGATAAAAAGTAGCTTTCTTCATCCCATATAAATGTTGGTATAGTATATGTATACCAAATTTCATAAGTACTGATTAGTTAAGCCATTAAGGCAGTATAAGGTAACAAACAAACTCACTTTCACATTTATAGTTTTAGTAAGGATTTTCAGTCTGTTTACAAACATTCCTTTTTTTTTCCCTACCACCATCTACCAGGCCCATTTTTTCTGAACTTTGAACAAATAATACACATAAAATTTCATTAAAATCTGTTATGCTGTTTCAGAAGTTTATTAGAAAAAAAAACCACAACAAAACTGACATTTTATACTGTTAATATGTTTTGTTTGTAACACTTTATTGTACAATAAAGTCTTAAATTATAACCTAAAATCTTATACACACCTAGAAATTAGCACTATGGTTTCCAAAGGAGAACATATGGAGGTCGACTTGACAGGTTATATTTCTAACAAAGGGACTGGTAGTCTGCTGTAAAACAAACAAGATGATGGTTTGAGGTTTGAGGGGAAAGGTTTGCTATTACTAGCAAACCTTTCCCCTCAAACCATCATCTTGTTTGCATGTTGCATAATTTTTTTTTTACTGTATTAGGAACAGGCGGGTCTGCCGCATCTGAAGAGAAAGTTTACGGCGGCTGCGAAGGCCCCGACGCCATGTATGTGAAGTTGGTATCGTCTGATGGACATGAGTTCATAGTGAAACGGGAGCATGCTCTTACCTCGGGCACAATCAAAGCCATGTTGAGTGGCCCCGGCCAATTTGCTGAAAACGAAGCCAATGAAGTCAACTTTAGAGAAATACCGTGAGTGTTATGTTTTTGTAATGAAATATATATATAATATAATAGCAGTATTTTTCCTGAAATAAAAGTGTATATTATGTACGTAGCCTGTTTGAAACCTATATGTTGAATAGGATTCAGACATGCTCAAACTATGTAATAATAAGGAACTGACTTCAAAAATGAAGAAGGTTTTCAATTCCGTTATATTTTCTATGTTTGTTAACTAACTCCGTCATTTTATAAATCGATTTGGAAAAATCCTATGTCATCTGAAAGGATATACTTTCAGATTGGTCTCAGAAATTTTATCAAAATCAATTTAGTAGTTTAGTTTTTAAATAATTGGTTTTCCCACTATTGAAATCGGTTTTTAAATGAACACAATCTTAAATTATTGATTTTATAAATAATACAAGTTTACTTAGAACTCATTAACTCCATTTAATAGTAAATTTTTAGGAAATGTGGTAATTTCGGGAAATTACCACAGTAATTGAAATTTCTTTTTTTAGTTAATGCTATCATAGAACAGTGGCAGCTCAGTCAGATAATTCTTGACTGCGGTTTAAGGATACCAAGATCATAATTTTCAAATTCATGAATCAATTTTAACTGATTCTGATTTGATTTGTGCTTCAGAGGGCATGTAAAACCGTCGTCCGGTAAGCCACGTTTTTTAATGCGTGAAAATGAAATAGTATCCCCGCTTGTACTATCAGTATACTCTAGCGGGCAACTAGTGACAGGATGATAAGTAAGGATGAAAGGAAATCATTTAGTAGGTAGGTAGAGAATTAACCATTATGGTTTCCAGGGACAATAGCATGGAGGTCGACATCATAGGGAGGGTATATTACTAGCAATGGGGCTGTTATATCGTATTACTAACAATCCCTTTCCTCTCGGTAAACAATGTCAGAGGCTCTTGAGTACAATTTATCCTAGCATCAGACCAGTGAGTGGCATTATCATATGCGAAATAAGGAGTAATGTTAGTTTCGGAATCTACTCATAATGATTTATATTGTCTCTTAGAGAATATAGATAGAGCCTCGATCCTCAAACATGGGTCAAGTTTTTGTCAACTAATTGTCAAATCAGCGGACTCGTTTTTTTTTTTTTTTTATCAGTATTATATATAAAGTGTATCTTGACTTGATTTAATAAATATAAGTGTTTACGTATTAAAACGATGCAGAATTTATAAGACAATATAAATATAGAAGTTGTAAAGGAATCACTCATATTTATTCATTACCCGTTTTCTCGAAACATTTCACTGGAGACACTCTATAATCTAAGTATTGTCCATAATGAATGTTTAATATATTATATGTATAATTATTGTCCACAGATCACATGTGCTACAGAAAGTATGCATGTACTTCACATACAAGGTCCGCTACACTAACTCGTCCACTGAGATTCCAGAGTTCCCGATAGCTCCAGAGATTGCTCTCGAACTACTCATGGCTGCTAACTTCCTGGACTGTTAAATGTTTAGGAGTTAAATGAAGAAAATATCTTTACAATTAAAGTAGCTCCACATTTTGGCATAGCTACACCTTGTCTGTATTATTTACTAAATGATAGCTCAAGAGATCAATTATTTTGTAGAATCGATTGGATTTTTTTATAGTTGGAATGTCTTTTATAAGTACCCAGCGGCTTCACCCGCATGATATACAGAAAATAATATGCTCTATTGATTTATAATTCATCTGTGATTAAAATTCAAAAACAGTGTAAAAACAAAAACAGTCGGTTACCTTATGCGTTTTTAATCTAAGGCCAGCACCACTCGAACAGAAAACGCAGACCGTCTGCAAAATGTATAGCGTCATTTAATAAAAGCGCAATGTCGTGTTGTCGATCTTTCGCGCAATGTGATCTAGAGCAAGCAAATTAATTACAATTTTATTTATATTTATTTACGAGCATTTTGTCGCGTATGATCGGCGACTAAAGATCGGCTTATTGTGGCGCTAGACTAAAAGTGCTAAGGACAACATATAAATTGATAAGGTATATAATACTGACTTTACCTGCTTGCCAGGACACCATAGAGCGAGAGTCATAGTTTTTAAGGTCCTGTCTCTTTATATTTAAATAAAAGTTCAACACCATGGTGAAGTATTTCTCATTGAACTTTCAAAACGCATGTAATAAAAGTAATTATAAGGAAAAAAAAAACATTTAAATTACTTTGAAGTTGGAATCTATCTTTTTTAAAAATTTTATTATTTGATTTAATAAAAAATGATTGATTGTAAATTTGTTAATAATATATACTTATTCTATGAATTCATCGTTTCGCTGTAATGTATATAATCAGTGGACTTGTGCATATGAAAATTTCTTAATTATTCATCAAGTATTTCACTTTTTTAAATGTACATAATCTAATTGAGAAAATTGTTAAGACTGTTTTTCTTTCTGTACTTTGAAGGTAGACAAATTTAGCGAGCTATAAAAAGAATTTGAAATTTATAAAGAAAACAAACCAGAAATTCAATTTCGTATAACCTATTAGCTCTCATTTGACAAATATTTCTATCTCTTAATAATTGTCGCTTTGTATTTTGTTAATAAACTCTTTATTGTACAAAAAATGTTTAATTTTGCATAATGTTGTGGGAAATTATTTCAGTGGCTAACACTAAACACTGGGGGGAAAGGGATTGTTAGTAATGGAGACGGTTCTCTCCTTGGAAACTATCATGGTTAACTCCTGACGAATTCATCATGATGGGCTAACTGGCCTGTTTTCATTCTCAACTATCACCCTTCACTGGTGCTCCGCCAGCGTATCCCGTAAGCGCAGGCGGGGTTACCATACCATTTTCACCCATAAAAAAAAAAACACTAAACACTGAAGTCAACTTCCGTGGGTTCTCCCCTGGAAATCATTGATAAGACTAAATAGATATCCGACCGATATGGGGGATATCGAAATGGCTGATGACTTTTTTCCGCTTACAATGTAATACTAGATGATCCCAATACATAGATATCGGATCAGTATCCAAACAATAATAAAGAGGTAACGAAGTATGCATAAAATAAAACTAAACACTTTCTGACCTGTCCTTTATTCAGTTTAATGTATAAACGAAAACCGGTCCACCTCACGATAGTTATATAGAGTAACCTCGCGCTCTGTTCCAATATAGGGCCTGACTGACTACATGTTACGCTTACAATATCATATACTTTGGAATGACATCCTGCTAATACTAATATAAGTAAATCAACTTTACAAACAAATCAGGATTCGTCAATAAATAAATTCTGCTTTGATACAACTTATAATTTTAACGTACTATAACGCTACGGTTCGCTGAGATCTAAGCTTACAATAAAAACTTTGGATAACAAAATTATAATAATTATGGACAATTCTTGTTTTGTACATTTTTACAAAGAAAACCATTTCGACATATATTCCACTGAGAATGCGTGTTAAATGCGGAGTTGTGACTGTTACGCACCTAAACTAAACGAATTATACACATATTATAATAATACATTTAGATTACAAAATAATTTCATTCTTCATGATTAATTTCAAAAAATATTAATTACACAATTATTGTTGTATGGAAGAATTCATTCTGATACTTATAAATACACACCGTTACTGGTTCAATATAAAACCTGTATTACACCAAAAATAGAAAATTTGTATGAAAATAAATTACAACTTACACGTTAGGTGCAATTAGGAATGTGCTCGTATCGGTATGTACTGCAATCTGACGTTTTATAATTAAAATTACGCGAAATAGGTCATTTATTGGCAATAATATCACAAATCAACCGATTCACGACAAGTTTGGAGTAATGACAATTTTGATGTTGGAATAATTAATGGAAATTGAATAAGGATAGATTAATGATTTTCAATGATATCGTATGAGAACACATGATAGGTGAATGTAAATATGTTGAATAATATTTCAATATTGTAATATGCAACACGACAATATTTATTTGAAGCACAACAATGCTGATGATATGTTAATAGATATTATCACTAAAACGTTTCAACATAATTTCGTTGAGTGAATTTTACTAGAAAAGTCCCATGACCTCGACCCGGCGATTTTATACTATGGAAATTATTAATTATTTGATTTGGCAACATTTTAGACTTAGTATTAATGAGAAGCCAAGCGATTCCGATTTTTATTACAATGTCAAGGTCACCAACGACTTCGTGTTAAACAAATTTAAATCCTATTACAATAAATTAAAATATGCAATTCCATGGGTAGATGAATGAAACGGAGATTCGGCTCAAGATTAAAACCTGGTATATTCGCTAAGTAGAATATTGAGCATTTAGTTGTCTTTTAGAAGAAGCTTGCGTCGCACTACGTTCTCGTTTCTAAAGCGCATAAATAAATTAATTATCAATAAATGCTGTTGTCATGAGCATATCCCGGTAAGTACACTAGTTGATCTACAATCTCATAGCCTTATTTAGTAAAGCTGTATACCGTCCGCGGAAACAAAACTGCCACTACAAGCAAACTAAATCGGTGAGCTGGCGGTTCATCCCTGATCGCTCTGACTCATCTGATCGATTGAAACCATTTTCTTGCTGACGGAGTATATCGGTGGCGAGTCCATTTTGCCCGATATCGCTTGGACGCGGCTCTTGACCGACTCCATCGGAGCCACATCGACTTTTCCATCGTCGCTGATGCTGGACGACGAATGCTGGAAGGAACCACCGACGTCTGCGTTGCCATATATGTGTTGTGGCTCCCTGATGTTGCCGTAAAGGTTGTAATTGTGTATTAAAGCTGACACTCTATTCGATGTGACCGGTAGACTGCTGTGTTCCTTCGGCAGATGTTCGGTAACATTTAACTGGCCCGTCGTGACTGGCTGGTTAATTTTGAAGGCTGGTTTAGGTGGAGGGGTTTCATCTTCTTGTATGGACGACTGGTTGCTGAGTATTGGGTTTTGAGGCGTGAACGTTTGGTTCTGGGCGGCGAACACTTGGTTCTGCGAGGTTAACGTTTGGTTCTGTGGTGTTGTTTGTGGACTGGCGGGTTCTCCAGGGTCGGGCTCTAGTGCCGCCCGCCAGTCGATGTTGGGGTGCCGCTCGCGGATGCAGTCGACTACGTCGAGGAGATTCTTTGCATCCATGGCCAACACGTGGGCTGCAGCGAGCATTCTCCTGGAATTAAAGGTATTTATTAAGTTGTTACGAACTGTTTTATCGGATGGTTATTCCTTTGCCATGGTAAAGAACTATGTACAGGTATATCATGTTATCAATCATTAAAAAAAAACAATAATTGAAATTGATGCCTTTTTTAAAATATTTGTCAATACTTTTATTACAACACCTTATTCTGAAGATTGCGGTATAAATCAACTTCAGTACCCACTATCTATTTTAGTTCATACTATTTAATATATAATGAAATTTATTGTTATTCTTAATAAAAAAATCTCCTAAAATCTTGAAAAAAAATGAAATTATAATAAAAAAAAAAATGAAAATAAACATTAACTGCAAAAAGAATTATCAAAATTGGTTCCAATTCGGATTACTATTACATTATTTCACTGCAGTAAGTTACAAAAAGTTTAATGACTTGGATATTTTTATTAGAGAGTGCATGGTATTGTGAAGTGCTACTTACTTGGTGTACTCCTGGTGTAGGGTGGTATTCGCGTACTGTATCGCGAGTCGCATCGCCTCCACGAGGGCAGCCATGTCTTTGCTTAGCACCTGATGAGCCATCTCCACTTCCCTTTAAAGGATTAAATTATCTGTTATATATTCTGTGAAAAACTTTTGTCTACTACTGAGAATGGAAAATGAATGATCATTTTTTATATACTTTGATGAGAGTGTTCTACTAACAAAAGTGATGAAGTTTACTGAAGAAACATATATCGAAATATGACAAAAAACATGCATACAAAATTGAGTACCCCATATTCTCGTACGCGGCGCGTTCAGCTGTTGGGTTTGTATGGGGGAGTTTTTTGTTATTTCTGAATTTTGGATTCCCGAAATTTTTATCTTTATATTTTCTATAACATGGGTTCTTAGTTTTACATAACACTAATGTTAATGATGTTTACGGTATGATTCTTGGTCGGACCAATTTAGGAAACCTTATTCTATGACAAACTGACTCGGATTTAGTTAAGTAGATTCGCAATTATATCCCCAGGTGATCGTTGTCCAGTTTCCTATAACACAATCCAACGTTAAAGATCGCCTGATACTCAATCCTGGATTATCTTGCTATTGCTAAGTTAGTTTGATTGTATTAAATAAAAACATTTTTTGTCCAGCTTTAAGGTTAAGTTAGGTTTTAGGTAACTTTTAGGTTAAATATCAGGAGCCCGTGTTTTCTAATAATACTCGTACTGGTATTAAAGGTGGTAGTGGAAGTATAAAAAATATACTATTTATATGAAATAAAGAAATTAATATTAAAATAATCCATTTTATAATGGTTAGGTGTACACTTGTTACAACCCTTAATCAATATGTCTATCTTTATTATTAGTAATGCGATATATCCTTTCAGGTCGACCTTCACGTCACCTCCCTGGAAATCATCGTGCTGAATTTCAGGTGTATTCATCCCGATGGGCTAACTGACCTGCCTTTTCGGGGGGAGAGGGATTGTTAATAATGGAAACTAAAAATCCCATTGCTAGCAATATACCCAACCAGGTCGACCTCCACGTGGTTCCTCCTGGAAACTATTATGGTTAGTTCTACTGGAATTCGTCATAATTGGCTAACTAACCTACTTCCATTGTCATCTATCATCCCTCACTGGTGTCCTGCCATCGTATACCGATAGCGCGAGCGGGGTTACCATTCCATTATCATCCCATTAAAAAAATGACCTGCCTTTTTATCGTCACATTTTTTCACCATTAATTTCATACAGACCTTTGAGCAGTGTGCGGGAATGGCACGACGACTAAATCGACAGTGGCACACAGCGACCGCAGCTGAGCGCCGACCGCGCGCACGGCCGCCAGCACGTCCGCCGGCGCCGCGCCGCCGCCGTCGCCGCCGCCGCCGCCGCCGCCGCCGCCGCCGCACTGCGCCACGTTCGCTAGCCGCATCACGCAGCGCACTACCGCCGTGGTCGCCGTGTAAACAGGCTCCGTGTTCGATGCTCGGGACGGTTGAATCGGTTTCTAATAATTATAATTATTAGTCGACTTTTTGTTAGGTAAATATTTTTATAGTGTGTTCCCCAGTATTATTATCGATTGTGATGCTGCCTTTATTTAAAGTGTTTTCTCTAAATATCCAATTTTATTAAGTTTTCTAAACAATTTTACATTATAAAAAAATAGGTGGATGAAGCAAGAGATTTCCTTAAAAATTTAAGTCGTTGGCATTATTTCCCCTGTTCATCCAATCCAAACCGTAATGTGACAATAGATAGATATAAATAAAAAACAAAATAGTAAGTAAACTAGATATTGTACTACTATTGTACAGACTACGAAATCATTATTCTTTGTATGAATCGATACCAAAATAATAAAAAAAAAATTAGCATACCTTATCTTCACTGGGTGGTTGTTCTTTTGGGTTAACGGTATTTGCTGGACTAGTTTCTGATGAATTCGCACCTGAAACGAAGAAAACTATTACTATAAATGTACTATTTATTAGATAAATATTTACAACATCATCTCTAGTACGACGGTATTATGGTATAAACTTTTGTTACCGCTAGATGGCGTTGTAAATTGAAACTTATCAAGTTTTATATAAAGATCCAAGGCATACGAATTAAAATTTTGTAAAGTGGGGAGAATTGTAATTGAATAAAAGGTGTTAACAAAAGATATTAAAAAATCCACATATACTTCTCCCTCATAATAATGTGTGATTACTTACTCATCATCATCGTCATCATATTCTTTTTTACACAATTTAGAATGACAAACAAACTGACGGCCCACTTGATGGAAAGTAGTAACCGTCGCCTATAGACATGAGCAGTACCATGGACAGAGTATTTCGCCCATGATAGCCCCGTGCATTGCCATTCCTGAGGACTCAGGTATTATTCCTCTGTACCCAGTAAATTCACGCCATTATCCCACCCCTCAAACCGAAACACAGCCATGCAAACACAACTGCTTGACGGTTGAAACACAAATGGGACAGAGGTACCCAAGCAATCGACTTTTGTACAAAGTCTCCCTCTGGTGAATAATTAGATAATGTAGATAAAAGATTTTATAGTTAAGAGAATCCACTGACCTGAATGTGTATGTGCGACTGGCCGCTCCTCTTGCGTTCGTTCTATTGGTTCGGCCTCAGTTGACATTTGCATATTTGACAGTCGTTTCTGCTGGAAGTACAATGGTCAATTTCAGAGTCACACTAGCGGAAAATTGTATTTTAAACAAAGGCGAAATTCTTTTTAATATTTCATTAATTCTGAACCGATTTACCGTGGCTAACAAGCAATCAGTCCGTCTAACAGTAAACGATCACTATAGCCTATGGACGTCTGCAACACCAGAGATATCACGTGCCCATTGCCGACCCTGAAGAAAACTTAAAACGCTCTTTTTAATAAACCCCATATTGTAGTCTCTAAGGAAAACGTGAACAAAGAGCTCATTCCACAGCCTGAGTGTTCACGGGAGGAAGCTTTTCTGATACTGCTGTGTATCTTTTGGATATCTATAGGTATTAGTCTGTTATTTTTTTTTATGGGTGAAAATAGTATGGTAACCCCGCCTGCACTAACGGGATACATTGGCGGAGCACCAGTGAAGGGTGATAGATGAGAGTGAAAATAGGCCAGTTAGCCCATCACGATAAATTCATCAGGAATTAACCATGATAGTTCCCAGAGGGAACCGCGAGGAGGTCGACCTGGTTGGGTATATTGCTAGCAATGGGATTCTCAGTCTCCATTACTAACAATCCCTTTCCCCCATTAGTCTGTTATTAAACTCATATTAATTTTGACACAGTCAAAATTTTTTGCAGAAAATAAATTACTATATCATTGGTATGCCGTGTGGTTCCGACTTAGAATGGGCTACCCCTTTCTTTCCTGTGGGTGTCGTAAGAGGCGGCTAAGGGAGAGCGAGGAATGGGCAGCAGCGTCACTCTTAAAATGTTGTCAAATCTTAACTGCAGTTGCCAACCCGCTTGTCAAGCGTGGCAACTACTGGAAATCCCATTAAGAGATGAGGCCTTTATTCAGCAATGGTTAACAGCTGATATTATGATAATAATGATAGCGATATAGTTATATCAGTATAACCGTATTATGGTTTCTTCAGAGCAGATAATGGGCACGTGACACCCCTAATGTTGCAGGCGTCCATAGGCTACAGTAAACGTTTACGAGTTGTATGTTTGTTTGTCACCATAGTCGTATAAAAAAAAAATTATAAGAAACAAACCAAGTTGTCTTCTTGCATCTGCAGCCATCTTCTGTCTTCTTCGCTCTGATGGTGTTGTCTTGCTAATTCCGCTAGCAATCTTCTTTCCACTGCTTGTTCCGTATCGAACTCCGGACTCTGTTTCATAAGATGTAAAGTTCAATATTGTATAACGAAATCTTACTATTTTAAGAACTTACGTTGTATTTAGTATTTTACATGATTATAGAAGAATTTTATATTTTAGTAGTAAGTAAAAATTGGACACAGTTATTTATAAGACTCCCAACCAAACACCAATTGAAATAAAAAATATTTTGTAACCAGCAACAACGTTAGTTCTTTTATTGATATTTTTATTGAAACCACTTGATTATTTAATTTTAATGAAGTATAAAATAATATTAAACTAATTTTCTAGTAAAAAAAAAAAAAACATAAGCTCTATACTAAAATTAATTATTGACTACCGCATTTTTTATACAATGATAAATAAAATAAAAAAAAAAACTTTTTTTAAATTAAAAGAAATATATGCCATATTTATTTCTTTTAGATTTCCTATTATATATCTATATATATTTTAGTATTTGTTTAGTACGGGTACATTTTTTTTATATAAGAATGCTGCAAGTGATTTCAATATGAAAAAAATATAAATAAATATTAAAATAAAAGTAATAAAACCAAAATTCTACCGGAGAACCCAATGGACACAAAAACTCTGTAAAAAAAGAAAATAAGGCTCATTTACAAAGTAATGTACAAAAAGTGTTATGTATAAGGAGATATGTATGTACACATAGACCATTCACAATAAATAAATTTAAGAATTGTGTATTATGATCTTTGCCTACCCAATAAGGAAAAAAGGTGTCAGTTATATAACAGATATTTATTGTGGCAATTATAATTATATATTTACATGTGTTGTTGTAATTACTTAATTAAATTAATAGCTATTTTAAACCTACCAAATGAATATATTTGACTTAGTGAAACAAAAATAGAAGACTATACATCTACGCAGTGATTGTGGACAAATTTTGACATTCTATTTCTAAAATATAACAAACACACTCATGCAATCGCTCTATCTACACAGATAAAAAAACTATTCACGCATTTTTCTCAAAAGGAAAAATCTATAAAATATATTATTATTGCATTCCTCTTGTATTTGTGCATAATCTACTAAAAAAAAAACATAAGGCACTATCTTGATAAACCATAATTCACTTTTGTCTTTGATGATTAGAACAATTTCAAAATAATACACTCACACTTATGTTCTAATTTCAAACGTGACACATAAACGATCATCAAAGTAAAAAGTTTTTAATTCACCACCAGCAAAGAAAAAAAAACATATAAAAGAAACTACGTACAAAACGCCTAGCTACTCAAAATCACCTGAACGGGCATATTCGGTGGCGGTACTGTGCAATCCTGTCGCGAGTAGTGCGGCAGTGCGTCGGGCGGCAGCGCATCAGGCGGCAGTGTAAGCGGCGGCAGTACCTCCGACGGCACCGCGGACTGGCTGGCGGCCTGCGCGGCCGCTTGTGGGCGGTACGCCAGCGGCTGTCCGCCTTGTACGTGGCTACTGAATATTTGCTGGGGCATATACGACATCGGCGGGATCACCCCCATCGGCTGCGCCGCGAAGCCCTGATTCATCGGGTACACCGGACTAGAGGACCTCACGAATTGACTAGACATTTTCACGTTCGGCTTCACCGGACTCTGGTACGGGATCCCCTGAACGACCCCGACGGGGACCCCGTACGCCGTAGGATGGGAGACGGACATGCCCGATACTGCAGGTCTGTACGATTTCGACATGGCTTTCTGAGCGGCTATCGCGGCGCAACTCTTGACGTTGTCGCCCCCGAAGTCGTATATTTCCTCGACGAGAGGCGGGTCGGGCTGGTGCCTCATTTTGTTGACGACGCTAGCAGCTAATTGCGCATTGAGAGCGCCTTGCACAGAAAACTGTCCTACGTCTTGTTCCCGCCTACTCCTGGGCGGTGGGGAGGCGGGAACAGAATGCTGCCTCGTGAAAGGCGCGATAGGGACCGGGGAGCCTCTATGCGAGAGACTGCCTCGAGCGTTCCGTTCCAGCGACCCCATCCTCACTGGCGCTCTCTCGGCGGTTGAAAGAGTGACACCTCTAGTATTCCTCTCGAGAGACCTAACCCTATTCGCGTAAGGTTCTGTCGATACGTCTGTCTCGCTCTGACCTTGAGGAGGAGACGAGACGTCCGTTCTTGGTGACATGGTCTGCGTGTTTTGACAGAGATTGTCGCAACTAGCACCTACCACGACAGTTAAAGTCTCGTCTGTTTGTTCGGGGACTATGGGATCTAACTTGTGCAAGCTCGCGACCGGGATAGGGACCGTTTGGAGGGGAATGTCGAGTTTCTCGTCGGGTTTAGGATTGATGATTTTGTCAACGATGTTAGGGTCGTCCTCCGGTAGAGTTTCAGCGAAGTCAACAGCGACTGTGTTGAATACCGATGCGGGCGTGGTGTACGCTTGCGGGTCGATGGCTCGGGACTGGTTCTCACGGAGAAGGTGCGCGAGGACCAGGGGGTTTTGGGCCACGATGTAGGTCTGTGGGGCCGCACCCGCTGCCTGTACCGATGTTGAATCCACCGCTGTGGAAAGAAATACAATTTTATATATTTGAATGTATAAACGTCGTTTAAGGACACAGTACACGCGCATGCTGGCTGTTGCTTATACTGTGCGTAGTGTGCAGTGTAGGTGTACCTGCGAGGTTGTGGTTGGCGTGCGGGCGGCTGGGCTTGGGCGGCGGTTCATCGCCCCAGGAGGCGGCGGCTACGCGCCTGTTCTCGCGTCGCATCGTATCCCACGCGCTGCTGCGTTCTTCCTGCAGGATCTCGCTGCAGACAAACGTGTATAGAATTAAAATATGTGTCGTAAGAGACAATTTAGGGAATAAACTACAAGGAAGCAGTTTAAGAGAATGGGTAAACATACATACTCTTTTGAACTGCTATCACTTTGTTTCATGTGATAATCAGGAGATTATCAAGTTAAACATAAAATGGATATTTTTGACTACCATACCCCACCATAAAAACCGAAACATAGCCACACAAATACAACTGCTTCACGGTAGAAACACGAATGGGACAGAGGTGACCAAGCAAGCGACTTTTGTACAAAGTCTCCCTCTGATATACTCTTCTTATTGGAAGTAATATTTATGTATTATATGTGCATTTCTTATGTATTGTGTATGATTGCTTTAATGTGTTAATGTAATTGTCACATATTTTTCAAAACATTTGCCCTTCAAACACTTTCTGTTTTTACATAATGGTTAGCTGGTAGAGAATGCCATATGGCATTAAGCTCACCATTTGTACAAAGTTTTATTGTGCATTAAAGAATAAATAAATAAAAAAATACTCACAAGAGAGTCTCCTTGAGATGGTGAGCGGTGGGCCGCTGCGAGGGCTCGTAGGCCCAGCAGCGCGACATGACCGAGTACAGCCGCGGCGGGCAGCCGGCCGGCAGGGCGAGCCGCTCGCCGTTCTCCAGTTTCCCTATCACGTCGTTATTCTTCACACCGATGAACGGTTTCACGCCCAGCATCAATATCTCCCACATGCATACACCTGAACGATACAAGAATACTATACTTAATAGTATGTGTGCCTGTTGCATTGCATATATATGTTATACCATGTAAAAACATGCTATAAAAAATAGTAAAATGAATGAGCTTGACATGAATAGTAATGTTAATGACCTTGACCTAAGTCTATAATTACTAATATACAAGCAAAACGAGAATAACAAGTTACATGATTATGAAGTGCACATGTAAGTATTAAATAGAAGGCACATTCGATAGCATTAATATATGCTTTTTTTTTATATACAACATAGAATGGCAAACAAGCTGACGGCCCACCTGATGGAAAGTGGTAACCGTCGCCTATACACATGAGCAGTACCATGGACATAACAGAGTATACTGTTTCGCCCATGATACCCCCCATGCGTTGCCATTCCTGAGGACTCAGGTGTTATTCCTCTGTACCCAGTAAATTCACGCTATATCCTACCCTTCAAACCGAAACACAGCCATGCAAACACAACTGCTTCACGGTTGAAACACGAATGGGACAGAGGTACCCAAGGAATCGACTTTTGTACAAAGTCTCCCTCTGCGACTTTCATGATTTGTGTGTAGAATGTCTTAATCATTATTATCAACAACATGAAACAATTATCTTTGAAAGAAAATGGACAATGACCTCAACTAGTCTAATACCGCTTTCGTTTAAATTAAGGATTTAGGGTAAAAGACAAGACACTTCAGTAGCTAAAAGTAGATTTGATAAACGTTATTTATTTGTACGAATGGCCTATACAAGGTGACATTTTATCCTCGAACATAATTTACCTTTATATTTGTTTTTTTTTTTCTTGCTAATTCGTTTCAATATCCGAAGAAAAATCCGAGAAACAATTCTCGGCTATATTTTAATTAGGAATAATTAAAATTGGGTGCTATAATGTATATGTGCTATACAAATGTATGGTTTATGTATATTAAATCATTTAATGTATTAGGTATGAATTATGTACAATAAAGATTTTACAATACAATACAAAATGTTAAATGTCCATTGTTTGTGAAAAATTTCACTTAATGTGATTCATACCAAACATCCAGACGTCGGAAGCAGACGTGAACCGCCTAAAGTTGATAGACTCGGGTGCCATCCACTTGATGGGCAGTTTACCGCGTGACGCCTTGTAGTATGATTTGTCATCCACCATTTTTGATAGGCCGAAGTCCGCTAACTGCAACAATTTTTAATATATATATTTTTTTTAAATACATGGTAATTACATACTGCTAAGAATAACTGGAAATAAAAATGAAATGCGCTATCTTTGTTTTTATTGGCAGGCCATATTAAAACTGTCTCTACATTATTTTTAATACAATGCAAAACGATGTTCGTCAATTACAATTACGTCTATTATGAATATTATTTTTGATTTATTATGATTTCCTTATAAAACTAAATTATAAATACGAAGCAATACTAATCCAGTAATCAGTGCAGTACAAATATTATTATAGTGGATCTAATTACCCCGTTAAATAATTATTATTTCTCAGCTCAAGTGTAAAAGTGCTCGGCTGCTTCCCAGCCCTACATTTTTGATCCTTCGAGCCGGATTTAAGTCAATAACAAATAATATGTGTCAGAAGAAATCTTTTTCATCGATCAATAAGAAATAGAATGTTATTAACACGTCTGTGCTATCCAGTTTTCTTTCTTATTATCTGCCTCACTCTCATTGAATGTGTATATTTATGTAGTGAGTGTGTACCAACCTTAACACAGGTGGGCGTGGAGACGAGGACGTTGCGAGCGGCGATGTCCCGGTGTACAAACTTCTTGCTCTCCAGGTAACTGAGTGCGGTAGATAGCTGGTAGATGTACAACACAAGTGTACAAATCTCCAACCTATAATCAAATATAATTTAATAAATTTTTTTAATGCAATTTAGAGTGATAAATAAAGTGATATCTCTCTATGGTGAGTGGTAATCGTCGCCTATAGAAAAGGACAGCGCCACGAGCATTACAGAAAACACATTGTACTCACGTGTGTTGCCATTCCTGAGGACTATTGTGTAAGCTGTTATTTTACATTGAAATATTCCACACACTTATATCGAAACATAGCCATGTAAGTACAGCTGCTTCTCGGTATGAACACACATATCTATAGTAAAGCAGTTCTAATCAAATGTATGTATTTTACAGTAAACTCACATATGATTAAACTACTTATCTGTCTAATAATAAGTTATTAATTACTATTTAATTAATTATTAAATATACACGTGGTATGGTGGTACCTCCTAGCGTTCTGTTGAAGGTAGGCCCTCATCTCGCCCAGCGTGGCCAGTTCCATTACGATCCAGATGGGCGGAGAGCTGCACACTCCCACCAGACCGATGATATGCGGATGACTGAATTGCTGCATTATATCTGTAGAGGGCGCGAGCACACATGAAAAGAAAGAAAAATATTTAATTTATAATGTTATAATATATTATATATTACTAATATTATCACCGTGTGACTCCGGCATAGAATAGACCACCCCTTTCTTTCCCGTGGGCATTTATCATTGTATTTTTTCGTGGGTATTTATAGAGGGAAATTTTGTACAAAAGTCGATTGTTTGGGTACCTCTGTCCCATTCGTGTTTCAACCGTGAAGCAGCTGTGTTTGCATGGCTGTGTTTCGATTTGAAGGGTGGGATATGGCGTGAATGTACTGGGTACAGAGGAATAACACCTGAATCCTCAGGAATGGCAACGCATGTGGGGTACTCTGTTATGTCCATGGTACTGCACATATCTATAGGCGACGGATACCACTTTCCATCAGGTGGACCGTCAGCTTGTTTGCCATTCTAAGTTGTATAAAAAAATCTTTTGGAGGAAACAATAAAGAGTATCTATCTATCTATTTTCTCGCCTATCACTATGAACTAAGCAGAGACGAAATATGTTAACAATACAGTGGCACACTTTCGGGATAAATTGTCAGTGAGCTCTCATACTGATGTACTTACAGGCTTCTTCTAGAAACTTCTCGGCGGTGTCGAGGTCGGCATCCATCTTGCACGTCTTGACCGCGACTGGTAACACGTACTCGCCGGTGGTACTGCGGCCCTGTTGCTTTTGTAGCGCGAGCTGACGTCGCAGTGACGGGTGGTTTGCAGACGTCACTTTACATGTGCCTGCGAATACCAATTACAGTTAAGTAACGAGAGAGTACAGAGTGACGTCATTGGCTACTTTTATATTTAGCGTTATTTTGCCTCCTACCGCCATCTACCGGGTCTATTTATTATTTGGTGACCAATACTTACAAAATTTTATAACGTCGTGATACAATTTTTTTATATATTAAGGTAATTAATACAGCATGGCACAATGTTGTCATTGGATCATTATTGATTAATAGAGAAATGAAAACTCTATTATTCCTCTCAAATAAAAATACAATTTACATAAAATATTTAGACAAAAAATGAGGGAATAAATTACTTAAAAAAAGAGGAGGTTCACAAGGTGAAGTTACTATTGGTCATAGAGTAATATGCGAGTTCTTCGGCACTTCTAAAAAAAATTTATACTAATAATCGATAAAGTTTAACCCATGATGTTGCTTTCTTGCAAATGTTTGGATTTAACATAATCTAGAAGTTAGTAAATTATATAAGAGATGCATTTTACCTTTATGTACATCACCGAACTGTCCTTCGCCAATGATTCCAGTTAGTTCGATTTGATTTCGAACTAATTCATAATCGCGAACTGAAAAAGAAAATTAAAATTACACACATTTTATATGAATATGAAGCTATATTCAACTAAATATCTTTCCCAGTATGATCTACGATCGAAAATGACCTTATGTGGAGCTAACATTAGTTTCAAGTTACAACCAACCTGCCGGCGTAGAGTAGTCGGCGTCGTCGTCTACAATTTCGGCGTAATCTTCGGACAGGAGTGTCGCCGTGTTCGCCTCCCACGAACTCGTCTTGCCCTCTGACGAACTGCTGCTCATTTCAGCTGCAAGTAATTAATAAATAAATACCACTAGTCATTTTAAATAGCGTTACGTAGACTAAAATTAAGCAGTGTCTGTGTTTCTGGACAACTGGTAAATATATTTATATTTTAAATACATGAATATTATACATAGAATAAAAAAGAAACATTTGTACGAGGATCGAACTTGTGACCATCGGAAGGTTGACAAATTTAGGTTAAAAGTACATGGGCTTAACTTACTTTTACACTGACAGGTGAGTTGTTTCCATACGGTAGCTTGCGAAAACATTTAGTCAGTTAAGTTTATAGTTTTCATTATGTCTTAAAATTTTATTTATCATTATAAAATTTGTACTGTACTAAAGTTTAAAATATAGATTTAAATGTAAAATACTAAGAATAATACGTAGAATTAGAATAGATTTCTTAGAAATTGAACCTTAACTCCTATTTATATACGGGCGAAATTCGGTAACCTAACATAAAATATGACATTACAGAAGTGATACTCACTTGTTCTGTTCCAAAGGGAAGTCTGTGAGTCAGTGACGAGTCTGCAGTAACCGTCGACAAGGTCTGCTAAACTCTCTGCAGCCTGAAATAACAATATTACATCTTATGTACTTATATTAAGAATTACCAGTTCTATATTAAGTTCCGCATTTAATTTTATTAAATAACTATCTACTCTAAAATTTTATTTCTAAAACCAATCGTGACAAATACAGGATTCTTTTTTTATACAACTTAGAATGGCAAACAAGCTGACGGTCCACCTGATGGAAAGTGGTAACCGTCGCCTATAGACATGAACAGTACCATGGACATAACAGAGTATGATGATACCCCCATGCGTTGCCATTGACTCAAGTGTTATTCCTCCGTACCCAGTAAATTCACGACATATCCCACCCTTCAAACTGAACAACAGCCATGCAAACACAACTGCTTTACGGTTGAAACACGAATAGGATATAGGTACCCAAGCAATCGACTTTTGTACAAAGTCTCCCTCTGGTAAAAGGATGAATATGACAGTATTCTATCTTTCTCTTCTATATTTATTTTGTCTTATAAATTCCGCACTTTTTAATGCACAAAAACCAATTTTATTTATTAAATAATTAAATATAGATACATCAAGATAAGGTTCTTAAGTGGCGACTATGTACGGGTAAACGCAGTGTAGGACGACCTCCCACTAGATGGAGTGACGACCTGAAATGCGTTGTAGGAAGTTGGTGGATGTAGGTGACTCAGGGCCGTTCTTTATGGCTGTCTATAGGGGAGGCTTATGTCCAGCAGTGGACGGATAATGGCCGAAATGATGATAATGACATTAAGATACATTGTATAAGTATATAGAACAACAATTAATAAAAAGAGTGAGCTAATTTAACAATTAGCTGACAAAAAGTTGAGCCGTTTTTGAGGCTCGATGCTCTATCTATATAATCTAAGACTACAACATTGTATCATTCCGCTATGTGAGTACCAACCTCGACGCTACTACACGTTATTGTCAACGTTTCTGTAGCCCCTTTCACTCTCAGCTGTAGAGCCGCTTTTCCACACGAACCGCTCTGAAATAAAACATTTATATTGAAGTATTAAAAAACTTAATAAAGGACTACTCTCCACTTATAAATACCCTCCAATATTTAATACATTGAAAGAAATGTTACATCGTCCAGATTGACTGCAGTTTTTTTATACTAGCATAAATAAATTGTTTATATAAAAAAAAAAAAAATTGAAAGTAAAAATATTTCATGGAATGTCCAAGATGCTTCATATCACTTCACATGTTTAATTGGCCTTGTTATATATAAGATAAACCAACAATAATCACATATTTATGTAGCCAAAAAGTACGGTATGAGAAATAAATCAGGGCACTTTTCTGAAACTCGAAAATCGATCGAAAACTACTTGAAAATAGTCTCTCTATTTTGCTCTAAGCGCGTCAGATTATTATATTTTATTTATTAATTAAACCCTTTATTGGATCAATATTACATGAGTTATTGATGAATATTAATTGGGTAATAATATTATCGATTATATTTAGAATAAATAGATGAAAGAAGAATTACGAAAAAGATTTATCTAGCACGAACAAATGGACATCTGTAGAGGCTGCTCTAGATGGATGTATATTGACCAAATAGGTCTATTAAATTGCTGAAAAAGAGGCAAATTAATAGTACTCATAACCGGCGAGCGTATTTGAATAGATTAATGAATATGGAGAAAGCGATAAAGGTCCGTTTGAATCGGAGCATTTGGCATTACATTGTTTCTGTCTACCCTAACGGGAGACAGGCGTGATGGATATGTATGTATATGTATTTTATAGAGTAAATACCTGCGTTTGCGACTGTTGCGTGCAGTTAGATTTGAGCGTTTGCACGGCGACTATGTCGCTGAAGGAAGCGATTTTTGAGTATGTCGGCGGCTCGCCTGCCTTGTGCGATACGTATGATATATCTGTAGAAAATAATGATGGTTACATTAAAATTGCTTATTTATATAATTGTATCTAAAAGATGTGCAATAAGGAATTTTAAACAAACTGCCGTATCCTTACATATACTTTGTCAAGTTTACGAATATCTCCTTCGTTTTCCCGCCAATGTATCGTTTAAAAAAATTGAGTTTAATTATAGAACACTTTCGAAAAAGGTTTGACTTTTTTTTATTAATAGCTCGCCTTGTGATCGTTTGGTTTTGGGAGAATACAGGGACAGTATCGCCCCCAAATGCGATTAACAGGAAAGTGGATTTTTTTCTATCAACGATTAGCGCAGGGTTGCCAGATGCTACATTTGATTTTTACCCAAATGTCAAATATTTTTCTAGCAAATGGATGCTATTTCCATCACTTTTAAGCAATATATTTTCACATATAAAAAGAACAATTCACAAGGTATCAACGTATTCTATAATCTTATGTGCATGTCGCTAAATAATCGAAGGAGTACCTATGTCAGGCCCAATGGCCAACTCGACCGGTATGGCCCACTCGGTGCCGAGCGCGCCCGTGAACGTCTCCCTGTCGTAGCCGTAGTGCGTGTGCATTGTCTCCAAATATTTCAGCATGCACTCCGTGTCGCTTAGATTCGCCACCTGTCAACAACAACAAGTCGTTCATTTCAGTAATAATCTATATGATAATGTTGATGTTTTAAAGCATTACTTTATTCACTTGTTCATAATTGTGATGATGACGGTGATAAGTGTTGTGTTATTATATATTTTCAATTATTCATTTATGATTGAACTTGGCAAGTTATTAATTGCAAATTGTTATAGAAAAAAGACATTATAAAATTTGCTTCGTCTTATTACATAAATTATTTCACTACTTTTAATATAAAAAATAAAACAGAAAATAAACCTATATAAGAATATATCATAACAGTAAATATATATATAATACCCTATTTTAATAGGTAATAAAATATTTAATTAAAAATAATACGAGTATTAAAAAATACAGTTGTAATAAATTTTTATATTTATTAGATTGATATTTAATCTGACAACCCACTTGATGGAAAGTGGTAACCGTCACCTATAGACATGAACAACACTATGGTCATCACAGAATAAACTGTGACGCCTATTCAATTAAAAATATTCACAATAATTTATTAATACCAAATACCTTTTTGAACTGCTGTTGTATTGCTTTCTTCAGGACCTTTGGCTTGATGGCTTCGAGGACTGATTTGGGCAGGAATTTATGAAGGCCAAACTCCTTCTCCAGATATTCAATGTTGGACTTTTTGTCCAATGATATCTGCATGTCCTTACAAAAGTATCTAGAAGTAATAAAAAAAATGATCAGTGTTTTGACAGCAGACGTTGCTAAATGATAAATAACAATAATAAGTATATGAGAAAATGATAAAATAACGCAACCGACAAAATGATTCACTGTTTTTTTTTTTTCATTTAAGAGTTTCCTCTTGTCGATGCAAACTAATTCATGCATCTTCTTACGACATGACTCTTAGTGTTTCCTTTATCTGTCCCATGTACTTATTCCTCGATCTTCCCCTTCCTCTTTTGCCCTCTACTTTTCCTTCTACTATGCTTTTATAATATATTACTATATAATATATTGCGTATTTATATACCAGCTCTAAAAGCTGAGAAGCTTTAAAGAAAATAATCCGTCAAATGGGTACATTTATAATTTAAACTAGATATAAGAGAGCTCGATATAATCAATGAAATTAATTGATAAAAATAAAAAAATGTTGAACCTTGGAATGTTAATGTATGAATGTTTCTTTATTCCGCCATAACTTCTATATATATGCATATTATTGTATATACATATGTATATGTCTGTAAATAATATAAACAAATATAATAAATATTATATTTATATTGTTATATTATTTATTTATGCTATTTTCCATATCATGTGTTGCAATCAAAATGCGCTGAAATTGTTTTAATTAATTTATTTATTCTACAAGAATGAGAAATTCATAGTGGCCCGTATGAAAGTTTATGGAGGAAGAGAGAACGGAAACAGATCGCCGTTTTACAATGCTACATTAATCAGTGTTTCCATATACAAAATTTACATTGTTACTTTATGGTTTTAGAATAAAAAAATATTTTCTGTTAAGATATAATATTGGATCTTAACAACATGATGTTCTAATCAATAAAGTGATTATTTCTAAGATCTGGCCATCACATATAAATATTATTGTACAGGCAGGGCAATCGAGTATTTTAATTTACGAAGCATATGTATTTCTAATATGATTTTAATATACATAAAATGGGGGGAAAGGATTGTTAGTAATGGAGACTAAGAATCCCATTGCTAACAATATACCCAATCAGGTCGACCGCCTCGCGGTTCCCCCTGGAAACTATCATGGTTATTTCCTGATGAATTCATCATGATGGGCTAACTGGCCTGTTTTCATTCTCATCTAGCACCCTTCACTGGTGCTCCGCCAGCGTATTCCATTAGCGCAGGCGGGGTTACCACACCGTTTTCAGTTATCAAAAAAAAAAAAATATACATCAAATCTGTACTCACTTAATTTCTAAACAACATATTTGTATCGCCAAATCCTGGTCGACCATAGGATGATTAGCGTTGAGGTAGTCGTGTCGCACCTGGAAAATTAAAATTTCATATTGTATTTCAATATTTACTTATTATATACCTATGTATTACTGGCTGTGTGGTCCCCGCATAGAATAGGGCACCACTTCCTTTCCTGCGGGTGTCATAAGAGGCGACTAAAAGTTCTTAATGGTACTAGGATAGACAGAAGCGTCCCTCTTAAAACATCTCTAAAAAATTAACTGCAGTTGCCAAACCGCCTGCTAAGCATGGCAACTACTGGCAAAACTCCACTTATGGTTGAAGGCATATATTCAGCAGTGGACAGTTAACGGCTGAAATGATGATGATGATGATGATTTATTAATACCATTAGACGAGTGATGTGTTTATTAGCTCTTGATACATTAACCGCCTAATCAATTTTTTTTCTATGATATTAAAATGGCAAGCAAATTTACGGAAATACATGACAGAAAGAATATTTTATGAGCTATGTAAACTACTTTTAATTTTATTAATAAAGTTAAAGTAACAACTATTTTATAATAATTTTGAGATGTGACCTTTCTGTTGATAGTTGATTCTCATTAAAATAAAATGTACTTATAATAAAAAAAAATACGTCTTGGGTATTTCTCATTGAAGATCCTGAGGTTAACGGACGTGAATCTAAAATATTATATATAAATATTTTCCACGGATTTAGTCACGCTGATCTTTATGATGTCAACAGGGGTCAAGAGATTTACGATACTATGTTGCGCGATGCATAAAGTAGGCATATTGTAGTAATGGCCATAAATCATTCTCAAATATCACCGTGTGTAATTCCATCATCATACCAGCTGTTAATTGTTCACTGCTAAACATAAACCTCTCCCATAAATTGCCATAAAGAACGGTCCTATATTTATATTTAGCACTGTGATTTAAACTACAGAATTGACATTGTATAATATACTTTTAATACCTGATCGTAGTAATAGTGAAAAGTGACGCGGTCGGAGTCGCAGAGCTCTCGCAGGTTGGCGGGCAGGTACCGCACGCGCAGCTCCAGCCGCCACTCGCTCGCCGGCCATTTTGTGAGCAGCTCCGAAACTGGCGTGTCTTGGTGGATCCATCGGATCTGAAGAGAGGAACGTGTTTGATTATAACTAAACTAGCTGTATTCCCAGGTTTCACACTTGGTCGAATGGTGATGTTGAATAGCCCTTCTTAAAGATTTTTTCAAACTATACTAGCAGTTTCAGAGATTAGGGCATTCAAATAAATAAACTCTACGTTGACGATATTAGTAAAGATTAATAAAAATCACAGTAAGACTATAGAAAAGTTGTTTGCTAGGATAAGTTACCTTTGTCCCACTCATATTTCTGCAATAAGACAGTTGTTTTTTGGTTTAAAGGTAATGGCAGTGAAATATAGTAGTACAAGATCATAATCCTTAGATACACATGAGGGGTATCATAGGCATTACAATGTATTCTATAATGCCAATAGTACTGTTCATGTCTAAAAGCAAAGATTACCACTTTCCATCAAGCCAGCTCGTTAGCCGTAAAGGATCCTACGTACTTAGTTATAATTACGTTAATATTCAATAAATATTTACCTTCCCAGTATTGAGCTTCCTGGCCCTCAAAGCGTAGCAGGATGCAAACACCCGATCACCAGTGGCTAGCCGTGATGCTAGCAGCCGCAACACAGATCTTACGTCTTCGTCTGACGATGCCCGTACCACGTTGAAACCGCCATTCGGGAGGTGAACTTTAAGGGTCGACTGGTCTCCGCATGATGAGCCTGTTGGATGAAAAGGTTTTTGTAAAAATTTTACATTCTTTCTTTTTAAAAGGTCCAATTTCACTTACATCTGTTTATGTTTGTACTAAGCTATAGGTTACTTTTAATCCAGGACAGTAAACATATCACGCTCATGCGGACGAAGTGGTAGATATAAGCATTAATATAGTATATGTATGTATAGCATTTTCAGTTCCAAACGAGAACTAGCAAGAAACTTGGTTGTTGGTCATTTAAAATCGACATGAAAAAAAAGGTTTTTAATTCGTTTTTTTTTATATTTATTACCTCATAACTCCCGTCAGTTCTAAACTGTTTTGGAAAATTCTTTATTTATCTGAAAGGATATACTTACAAATTACACCCATACAATTTTATCAAAATCTGTTAAGTTGTTTTTATTTTAGATCAAAGTAACAGGTCTTGTCGAAACCGAAGTCGATTCTTTTTTTGTTGGACACAATTTTTAATTATTATGGATGCTTGTTATATTTATTAGTTGAAGCAAGCAAATCCGCTGGATACTGCAACTATGTAATATCGAAATTTAATGTCTTTTTTGACAATGAACCTGTTAGTTACATTCTGTGTGCCGTGACTGTGCAATTTCCAAACTAGATTATCGAGACTTCGTGCTTATGAGAAAGTTCCACCTCACTTTGATTAACAGCGATTAACCTAATGGAAAACTTTGCCATTAAGAAAAGCTGTGAAGGGTGGAACTAAATCACGCATCACGGGTTACAAGATAGTTTGTCTATTCATTGGTTTTTCTTCTGATATAGAAGTAAACGTATAGATATATTATAATTTTCTAATGGGTGAAAATGGAATGGTAACTTCGCCGCCCTCCACCAGTGAGAGATGATAAGTAAGGATGAAAGATGATGTATTTAGCCTATCGTAACGAAGAATTAATTACATGCATTAACCACGATGGTTTCTAGGGGGAACCGCGTAGAGGCCGACCTGATTGTGTATTTTGCTAGCAATGAGGCTGTTAGACCCCAATCCCTTTCTTTCTGCTACATAATCATATTTATTGGTATAATCCCACTCTTAAGCATGGATAAAGAAAGGATAGCCTACAGTAATAGGTAATAGTAAATTATTATTGTATTTATAGTATAGTAATTAGTAGTAACCAAGCTGGCCAGACTGATCGGTATCGTTTGATTTTATAATAAGATTGCCTTATCCAGCACGTTTTCTTTTCTTAATTGTTTTTTACGACATCTTGAAAATGAATAAGAGTGATGTTTAAGAAATGTATTTTTAAATCGAAAATTTAGTTTAAAAACAGATACTAGATGGTGTTGTTGACAATGTAAAATTTGCTGTTAAGGTTTTCCTGTGTTTTGATGGCCTGCCCTTAGAGAATTAATTAAACGATTCTATCATTTCTACTGTATTGTGGTTGTTTCATTCGACATCATCGGTAGCAGATTTTTGACTCACGGTACCTAGTTGTTCAAGTAACAACACATTCTTTTTACACCGTCATTAAAAGCATTATATATGTATTCTTTAATTAGTGTAACAAATAAAAGATAAACTGCAAAATTAATCTCACTAGAGTATTCTAATGTTATACAAGATTATCAAGCATAGTAGATAGAGACTTCGTAAAAGTAGTCTGCGTGGAGCAGGTCTTTTTTTTACGATACTTAGAATAGCAAACAAGCTGACGGCTCGCCTGATGGAAAATAGTGACAACTAACGTTTAGAGACGTGTTAACGTCTATGCCATTGCACCGTTATAAGCACCATGACTGAATATACTATTATATCTCTCTATATTATATTATACATGTGTAATTTTTGTGTTTTAACTTGCACGGTTGTTTTGGTTAAATTTAACAAGAATAAACCACAATGGTTTCCAACCATGTGTAGATCGACTTATAAGAGTAAAGGGCTAGTTGTTTAGTTTAGAATGGTACGAGAGAATAGATTACTGAGCATGGAGGCATAACACCTTACTCCTCTGAAATGATAACTTATGGGGGATATAATAAACGTCAATAAAGTCCTAATTGCTTTTCTTCTTTAAACATTACGATTAACATTTTCCATTACGTTGTTCGTCTGTCTGTTTACAATTCTAATAATTTTATAAACAATAAACTGAATTTTATTCAACTGTAAGACATTAAAACAAATTTAAAAAACGCTGAAACATGTTTCCTCAGCAAATAATAGTACAAAAAATATAGAAGAAATAGAACTAGATAAGTGACCTTCATTAGGCTAGTTGGGCATTTTCATTCGCCTCATTACCTCTCCATTGGCCAAATGAAGTTGTCCCAAACTACCACGAGTAGTTACAACTTCTGGTTACAATTTCATCAGGTGACATACATATGTACAATTAAAATTGAATACAATTGTTATCAGGTGAATTTAACTTTAAAAATTAACTTATTCAATTGTCTAAGTTTTATCTGTGTTAACGTTTTAACTACAGTTGGATAAGTGCAATAACATTAAAAAGGTGCAAAATTGAATCATAAAGACATTATGATCTATTCATATGGACTTTTTATCTGCGAACAAAATTTACTTTAGACTTGTAAATTCGTCAATAGAGAATCCTTTAAAATTATTTAGAGATTTTGTTATGATCGGCCTAAAATCTAAAAGTTTACTTTTCTGGTCGGTCGGTATGCTACCATGCATGCGTGTTATGAGAGTAGGTACTCTGCTTAAACAGAAGGACATTTTATCCGCGAACAAAACGTTCGTCGTTACACAAGTCATTAGGATGTATTTTGACAAACGCCTGTACGTTGATATTTGGATACCAGACTAAATAACTTTTAAAGAAATCGAGTGTTTTCGATTGTCTGATGTTAAAAAGTAGGTAAAAACGATAACATATCAGTTCAATTGTATATGCACGGCTGTTTTTTGATATGCATGTAGACATATTGTGAGAAATGAATTTATCTATAGGAACTAACTAAAAATTTGTGCAATTGCAGTGACAATTAGTTTTCCTGGAATTATGAGTATAACGTATCAATTGCCCAGCTTTAAGGAAACTAAAACTATGGAAGAGAGAGTGTTATACAAAAATGGTAAACATAAAATATAGTGATTCATCACATATTCTTATAAATTAACGTCAGGAAATTCTATTGGGGTTTTTTTCTTTTGTTCTCTATTCGTAGAAAAAAAAATTAGCTGGCATATTGATGTAATACGATATTCGATTATATCAAACTTTTTTTCTTTTTTTTAATTAATTTTATAAACTTTAGGCTTAAGAACTTAAATGGCATTTAAAACTGTTTTCATGATACCTTTACTCGTAAATCAAAATTTACGACACCTTATCAACATAAAATATAGTTTACATTAATTATATTTTTATCACTTTAAGCAATTTTAGTCGAGAAGAAAATTTATTAATATAAGATATTGTATTGCACTCATATACACCTAAACATTATTTTGTAAGTATTCCATACAAATTATTCTTCTTAAGCTCCCATTATTCATTTAGAATTTTTTTTATACAACTTAAAATGGCAAACAAGCTGACGGCCCACCTAATGGAAAGTGGTAACCGTCGCCTATAGACATGAGCAGTACCATGGACATAACAGAGTATACTATTTCACCCATGATACCCCCTATGCGTTGCCATTCCTGAGGACTCAGGTGTTATTCCTCTGTACCCAGTAAATTCACCCATTCAATAATATCGACACCGCATAGTATCATGTCCATTAATTGCTACTTACTCTAATCAATCACTCTTTTACAGTTGATTTATACCTACAATTCATCCATACATTTATTAATCAATTTATCTTATATTATTTTACATGCAGCAAGGAATTTAAGAAGTATGTCAAAATCATATCATCAATTGGGTATCAGTTAATAATCAATATGCAAAACATCAATATAAACATGAATATCGATTATGCAGGTATGCAAATGACACCATTATTGTGCCTCCGACAAACAATCGAGTGGGTCCTATATGGGTGTATATTGGACCACCCGCGCAAGCGATCCGATTGCAAGTAACGTCAAGATAGAATGGCTACAGTAGCTTGTACGAAAACGTAACGTAAAACATAGGTGGCAAACGAGAAAACGGCTCACCGGATGGTAAGTGATTAGCACCGTCCATGGGACATTACAGAGAATGTCCGGCTTTTTAAGAAATTTGTTTTTATCAGTTTCAATGTCATATGCGTTCGTTAACACTGCTGCTGGGAGTTGGAGCTATCAGCTGATCAATGACTAATTTCTTTGAGCATATTCTTCATGATATATGCGATAAAACACGCAAAGAGACGCAACGACTCTACGCAATGTGTGTAATATAATATATGCTTAAAATTGATTTTCTCTAAATCACTAAAATAAGGAACTATTTTTTTATTTGTTGATTATTAATTAATATTAATCATCATCAATAATGATCTTAAGAACCCGGAAATCACTCTCATTGGAAGTCCCAAATTAAGACAGTAATAGATCGCATAATATTAAGTATTGATAAACAAACATGAGATGTTTGATAGAGGTTACAACCTCTCGATTCTCTTTGCTAATAAATACGGTTATCATTCCACCTTTACTTATTAAAAAAAGCATCATTTGGTTATAATGACGGCGTAGTCAGCTGGGTTAAGAGCAATTTAATTTTCAAAACTCATTTTACTTCATTAACATTTCCAAAGCTTATACATATAAAAACGAAATGAAATCAATGTTTAGGTGAAGTGAAATTGAAGTAAGTTGAGACCATAAAGTGTGAATGTTTACAAAATAGCTTAACTAGTCTTTCTACGTTAACGAAATTCACTGACCATGCGTAGGAGCTTGCGGGTGCCGCTTGGGCGAGCCGCCCGGCGGCGCGGGCTGCATGGCGCGCGCTAGCGGCCCCTCCGCGCAACGCCCCCCGCCCTCCGGCTCATGGCTGCAACAAATGAAATTATCGTTAGAGCAATAATTACTAATAATAAAAACAACAATTAATATATAATATAATATAATAATCTTTATTTCACTCTTTGTTACAATATAGTTTGAAGTCCCTAACTCCCTAAAGGTAGGTATGAAAAAACCTGTGTTTCAGGAGTTAGTGCCCTCTTCCATATGTTGTTTTACATTTTTAGTGAAACAATATGAAACAGAGAACTAACAAATACAAAAACAAAAATTACTATGGAGCCCATAATTTTAGAGAAACAATAATTTATGGGTTCAGTAAAATTGTGATAAAAATGTATGCATGTGTGTGTGAATGTGTGTGTGTGTGTGTGTGTGTGTCAATTATTTATGTGTTTATCGTTAGATATCAAATCATGACATTTGTCTAGGGCACTGTGGTTGTAAACAAACAAGAATCTATCAATATGACAAATTGTCGTACACGAGTGAGCTATATTTTGCATCTTGTACTTTCTCATGCGTATCTAGGTACCGATCAATGTGTTTGATATTTTGTTGTTCTGTAAACCTGACATAGAATGGGTCCCCCTTCCTTATCCATGGATGTAGTAAGTGGCGACTAAGAGAACTTAGTGATGAGCAGCAGCATCCTTTTTAAAACATCACCAAAACCTAAACTGCGGTTGCTAATCCGCCTGCTTATTACTAGCAAAATCCTCCTTATAGGGGAGGCCTATGTTCAGCAGTGGACATTTAACAAACTGATGTAATAATGCATCAAGGACTGTAAAAAAGACGTAGCCACATTCCTCATTTGACAAAGAACATTATTTACAACATAAAGACACCAAATATTACCATACAAAGCGTTCAGCAAACAATGAAAGTAGCAAGGGTCTGTGCTTTATGAATAATAATAAGCGTAAACACTTTACAAGGGATTCCAGACCATTGGGCACACCATTTGCATAATAGATAAAGATTTGCCGTTAATGAACCAGTAAATGTGGAACTAGTTTGCATGCTCCCACTGAAAGTAACGATTGACTGTTAATCACTCTGTAAATATATTAAGCTGGTAATTAGAACTTCGTTTGTCAAAATTTTAGACGATAATTCGATTTATATAATTAGTAACTTTTACCCGTGACATCCATATGACCAGGATTATGTACATTGCCTAGGATAAAAGGTAACGTATGTCCTTCTCGCCTTAATGGAGTTTAACAGCCTCATTGCTAGCAAATATTAAGTGTACCTCTGGGTCGTACTAATAGGAAGCCATTGTGGTTTATTTCTGATGAATTCGTGAACCTTGTTACCTAACTTAATTCTCACCTATCATCGCCAGCTTTATACTAGCAATAAAACGGGTAAGTTTACCATTCTATTTTCATCTTTTAAAAAACTTGACTTGACATTTTAGAAGGAGGAGACGAAAGAATTGCTAGGAATGGGAACGAGTGGTTTCAATACAAACAGTATACTCAGGTAGACCTTCCTCGGATACCATCGTGGTTAATTGCTATTGAATTTGAAAATAATATGGTGTTTATATGTTATGGAGTTTGGCAGTATCTACACGTCTCTACTGAGATATGTAGGTCCCCATGACACATTTTCCACATTTAAAAAAGGTATATGCCTAGATAGGTACCACTTTTACAACAATGGTGGTTTCCATTTCAGTAACAATTACCACAACTAATTCGTTCTACTTCGAAAAGTTTCCAAGCAATTTTAACTTTAGTGACGGTATCAAAACTGGAAAACATCAGAAAATAATTTCACGGTCTTTAGGACAAGGGCGTGAAGGCAATTGTTAATAAAAGACTTGCGTATATAGGACAAACTTACGAGTACACGAGGATAACTAAAATTAGTTGGAACTCATGTTTCGTAAACTGTGTTCTAGTTTGAGTTTTAACAATGGTGTGGATATATCTATAGCATGTTATGTATGAAATATATATTATTTTTTGTTTTGTATATATATTATTTTCAATCGTTAAAAAATTACTATGGGACCAACAAGAGAGTAATTCCTATCGAATCAAAAAGAAATGTGAAAATAGATTTAAAATTGACGACTTAAATTCAAATTTACCTCCTTCTTTCGAATAAACATCACATTGAAATCTTTAAGAATAAGTATATTGCTTCTTAAAAAATCGGCAAAATACCAGAATATTTTCTAATGTTCTTATGAGCAACGGTAATAACTTAAGATGGTAATCTACATTGCTCGTTTGCCTTCTATTTTATAAAAAAAAAGAAAGTAATAATTTTCAAAGCCTCCGTGGGTAGAGCTATGAAGCAGGAGAAGCAGAATGAGTCGTGTTAGAGATAAGTAAATATACAACAAAGGACACAACTGAACTACGACTCAAAACAAGGAATATTGATAAAGCAGGAAAACCACAATTAAAGAACAGTTATAGTTGTGTGAGGGTTTATTTAAATAATAGAATCACTTTTAATTTCCGTGTGTAAAACAAAAACATGATTACTTATTACTGCCTTTTATTTCTTTTATTTTTATTAGTTGTGTCGATGAATTTCTTGGACTGTGTTTGCGACTGTTTTCTCAAACACAAAAGATATGCTAAATTTCATAACTATTAAAGGTATCAAAAGAAAGAAATAATCATGAACACATATTTTTATATTAGTAAGAATTTCATTATCGTAAATTGGTTTTAGAATGAAAAGTATATCTTAAGTTTTTAACAATACTAGCTTTACTCGCGACTTTGTTCATGTACTGAGATCAATACATTGACCGAGATAAAAGCAGCCTATTTCCTTCTCATACCAAGCTTCATAGCGATTGGTTAATCCATTAATGCGCAAGTAAGAGATAATAAACAAACTTTAACTTTTTTCACGTTTGCAATATCAGTACGTATTTTTTGCTCTTAAATTAATTTTAGTAAGAATGCTATCTTTTTCCATAAATAATATTCAAGTATCTTTATCATTTTGTAAACAATGATTATTAAGGACAGTCTGCATACAAAAGGCAAGATTTTTTCAATTGTATAGCTTAACTTTAATAAAAATTCTGTATACACACAATAACATAATTTTTCTCACGTACAAAGTATCAGTCAGTTTTAATGAGGATATCCTGGTACGCAGGACAGACCAATTAGGTACAATGACAAACAAAATGAGCTTATAACACATGTATATAAAGATATTTAGTTTCGGCTCCATGTTCTACATGGAGTTCTACATGAAATTAAGGATACATAATCCTTGATGTACTTTTTGTTTACAGCTGGAATCTTTTAGAGTATATTGCTTTGTTTATAACGTGGTAGAAGTTCATGAATTTTTCCGAAATGTGATTGTGTTGACAGTGTAGAACTGTGTACAGATTAGGAATTACAGACTACAGAAATATAAATGCGCGGTGAATTTCAACGAAGTTTGTATCTCTGTCAAAGTTCATATGTTATTTATATTCTTTAGGTATAGAAAGAGATCCAGGGCCTAGAACGTTGTTTTCAATTTAAATATATTCTAATTTTTTGTTACTTCTTAGCACTACAACGGCTCGACTAAACGTCATGTAATTTACGAGTAGTATACACTTAATATTTTCGAGTGAAGAAAGAGAGATTACTTTTCATACTAATCAATTAAAAAGTGAACGAAGTAGCAGGAAATATCTAGTACATTATAAATATACGAGTATATAATAACAGTCATAGTGGAGGCAGGTTAGGTATTATTATGGAAAAAAAGAACGACGTTCTATAATCTATTTCTAGTTGATTAATATCCAGATAAAACAAAAATATGATAAATTGATATCTTTTTAAAATGCGGTCTCTGTTAAAAGAATGCTATGTGATTTTTTTAAGCTTTTATAGGCAATCTCCCACGCACTCCTTACTAATAGTTGCGAAATTTCCTCCTTAATCCGTTTCGGTAATTCATGAAATTTCCAATTTCCAAAAGAGAGCTTTCGGAAATTTTAATTATTCGCACACGAGCGGTCCGTTGTGTCCACTGGCTGACCACACTCCTCCACCCACTTCCTCCTCCCTCATCCCATAGAACCCTGTATCCCTCCCTCACGCATCGATTGGGGGCGTTCGGCGCATGCAAATGCAACAATGCACGTCTACGTATGCAGACATAATTCCGTTATATAGTGTTTGGTGCTTTAGACAGATACGCCTAATTTATTTATTTAGAGAAGTATTTGAGACAATATTGTAAACCTTTTTCAGATTATTGTGGATTTGACTTGTGAGTGTCATCAAACATCATTACGGCACGCACAGAAATATTCAAAAAATATTTAATTTCCAATGTATATTTTCAATTTGTTAACAGAATCTTAATCCGACATAACCATTATGTTGTTAGAAATTTAGAACTATTGTTAAAATTAACTAGATAAATAGAGAATTTCTGGCTGGGCCCACAACTGTAACATTTAAATTAGAAATTAACTGGCTTGAAGTGATTAACTTTAAAAGACTATTTCTCTGAGTGCGAAACTGCATTTAAAGTTCTAATATCTAGATTTAGCTGCGTTATTCAATTAAAAATTTTCCAAAATTTGTTAACTTAAACAATCTTTACAAATATTTCTAAGGTAGGTAGTTGTTAAGCAATTTTAGAAGTAGTCTGGTTTCAAATCAAACTCAATTAGATATTTCTTTGATTCGATTTTCAAAATGTAGACAAATGATAACGATTGTCATCCTAAAGCAAACTTTATCGATGCTGCTTATTGTTGGCATTTAGTGAACTTTGCCATTTATATTTATACTCTTATTTATAAATGAAAACATTAAAAGAAGTACGGGAGTACAAGTGTGCTTATTTATAAAGACAGAAACCTATTCGAAGCACCATATTTGCACAACGTTATTGAAAATAACCCACATCATAACCGAATCTATTAAATTTTTCGTTTTGAATAGAACGTGGGTGTGAATCAGGTGCGAGAGGCATGTAGGACAATGGACAAGTCCGTACAAGTTCGCAATTTCATGTGAATCA